AGGTCCACTTCAGTAGAGGGAGCCATCTAGACCTTTTAATAAAAGTGATATTGGTTTGGAGCTCTGCCTCAGTTTCTTTTATTGTAGATTGGATAATTTTGAACACCCCCAACACAAAACACATATACCCACCCTGGGGTACACTGCATATTTACACATGCCAACCCATGTCCAATCCAATTCAGTTAAATTCAACTCAACAATTATTAAAAGCCTACTCTGTTCAAAGCACTATCCAAGTCAAAACTATACAGGGCACACTCCCACTTAATCAAGGAAATAGAGGTCATCTATTTCTACCATTAAATTCTTTGTTTTGAACTAATTGTATTCTCTGGATGACTGAAAAAAAGCAAGCACATTGGTAGGAACATGGGAACTTGTGAACTATAGTTTAGGGATGATTGTAAGATTTAGAGATGCAGGGTCTTAAAGATCATCTAGTCCAACTCCATCATTTTATAAATGAAGAAACTGAGGCCCAGAGAGGTTGTGACTTGCCCAAGGTCACAAAGGCAGTAAATGGTCTACTCAGGATTTGAATCTTATCCTGAAAATCTAGCATGCTTTCCACTACATGATGGAGTGCATCCTCACAGTACCTTGAACTTAGAATAGTTATTCTAGGTACTTCTTCCCCAAGGTGAATCTCTAGGTGCTACACTGAAAAATTATCTGTTCCAATTATATATTATAATTATGTAATTATAATTCCATTTGTCCAGCAGAATTTAAGTTCCTTGAGGGTAGTGCCTTCCTTATAATAGGTTTATTTATTTATTTATTTTGAGCCTGGGTCTTCCTATCTTGCCCAGGGTGAAAGTGCAGCCGCCTCTCATAGGCCCAATCCCACTGCCACCTGGCACCGAGTTTTGGTTTGCTGTTTCCAACCTCTCCTTAGACAGCTTCTATACTTTTGGAGGTTCAAAGTATTGGTGCTAGACTAAGTGGGGATGTCCCATTGGCTTAGATCATTGCAGCTCATGACTCCCAAGGTCCAGTTACCTACCAGCCTCAGCCTCACCAGCAGAGGAATTCCAGGTGTGTGCCTCACATTTAGATTCTTGGTGCATTTTAATAGATTCCATATGCCTTGTTTCTGCACTTCGAGATCACCCAACTTCCAGAGGCCATTGAAGGGAAGGGGTGGGACCTAATCTACTTATTTTTGTATCTCTTACCTCAGGACAAAACTCTGTGGATTCATGAATTAGCAGTGCAAATTCACAAAACCACTATTGTTTATGTAACAAACTCTAAGCCAGATCATACTTCACATACCATCCAGTTGACCACAGCATCTTCATGCCAACTGTTTTCCCTGCCCAGCTTTCTACCTCTCCCTAGAAACTCTAATCAAATTGGTATCATTGCTACATTTGGAAAGGACATGTCAATGCATTCCACTCACTTCCTTGTGATTTCCCAGGCCAATAACATACCCTTCCCTGCCCAACATTTCCAGGACAGATGTTGCCTACCTCTATCAGAATGTAAGCTCCTTATGGAGAGACTCTCTTGCTTTTGTATTTGTATCCCCAGGGTTTAGCTCAGTGCTTTATACAAAATAATGGCTTAATTAAGACTTTTCATTTGTTCATTTATTCATTCATCCATTTATCCATTCATTCATCAGGCAACATTCAGGAGTCTTGGATTGGCTCTACCCCATGGTGCTGACATTGGGGTGGGGGGAGAACAAGCTTCTTGTCTTTGGCAGCTGCTGGCCATTCATTGTCAAAAGAGCAGACAGCTGGTGTGTATGAAGTTCCATGCTGTCTTATCTTCTGATGGTAATGGATGAGAGTTAACAATCTTTAGCAGGGTGGGCTAACTCCTCCCCTGCAACTCACCAGTAGTGGGAACCAGCATCTGTGGAAGAACTATTCTCTTCACCATGACCCCCGTGTCAGACTGACCACTACACACCTTTCCCCTACTTCACCCTTGGTCATATTGCCTCCTGGGATACTCTGTGTGTGTGTGTGTGTCTGTGTGTGTGTGTGCGTGCGTGTGTGTGTGTGTCTGTCTGTCTGTCTCTCTATCATGGCAGAGAAATGTTCACACTAGGATATTGTCTGACCACCAAGTGGCAAGTGGTGACAGCAGTGTCCTGCAAGGTACCATCCACCTTAGATTTAAAAATTGAGAAATTTGTGCTCCTTGTTGTTTTCTCAATTACATATGAGTTGGACAATGGGTTGAGAGGTCAGCAAAATGGTTTGAACCAGGGGGCAGCTAGGTGGTGCAGTGGTTAGAGCTCCAGCCTTGGAGTCAAGAGCACCTGAGTTCAAATCCGACCTCAGACACTTGACACTTAGTAGATGTGTGACCCTGGGCAAGTCACTTAACTCTGATTGCCTCATCAAAAAGCAAAAAAAAAAAATGGTTTGAACCAGTCCATCAGGTCTTGAGCGTTCTTTTCAGGTTCCTTCACAGATGGGCTGGTGCTACTCTGGTGAATTTTGGAACCACTGCTGACTTTGGGATGGATAGAAGGCTGGGCTCTTTCTCTAGCATTGTAGAGCTGACTCTAAGTCATGCATATTTTTGTCTAGAATCTTTGAAGGGAGGAAACTTGATGATGAAGGTGGCTTGGGCTCTGTCTTTCCAGGTGCAGACATGGCCGTGGGGCCTGGATTCTGCTTATTCTCAAAGATAACTGTCCACTCTTGGTTGAAGGCCCTGTCCTACAGGGAAGGTGTGTTGAGAATTTCATTTAGTGGTTAGTTGCATGTCATCCTTGTGGGTCACTTCTGACTCTGAGATGCCTTTTTCTACTAGTTTTTGGTCCAACAGTTCATCAATGGCTCTTGAGCATGGAGTATGGTTACATTCCCCTTCTAAGGCAGAAAAGGCGTTCTTTCCATCCTCAGTTAAGTATGTAGATTTCTTGTTAGGGTTTTCCTCATCTAATGATATCAATGGGTCTGGTTGCTCTGGCTCCTTTTCTGTGCTTTCCTTCCAGGCACTCTTCTTTTTGGCATTTTCAATTAGTTTGCTTACAGGATCATATAAGTTTTTCAACATAGTGAACTTTGTAACTCTCACGGATGACTGTCATGATATGTGAGATTTTCTCAAAAAAATGAAGCAAGGTGGTCTGATACTTCATTAGCATATGAGACAGGAGATTACATTTGCTTGTTGGAGGAAGATCCACTTTTTGACCCACATCATTCTTGAGTTTGTCAAAGTTGAGTTTTGTATGGGACACTTGGGCTTGGACCTTCTGAAACTGTGCCATTTGCTTGAAAAGGTCTAGGTCAAGCTATTGAGACATGTCTTTCATCCCCAGCAAAGCACTCTGTATTCTATCCGATACTGTTCCATGCACTTTATGATTAACCAGGTTTCAGGGGTGGACCAGTACCAAAATGTCTCCACCTCCTGCAAGGCCAGACTGCTGAGAAGAGAAGCAGAGGTTCTGTGGCTTGCATTGTTTTCCCTGCTTAAGTTTTGTCTTGAGACATCTGGGAGTGAAAAAACCTCACCAGTTTGTTTTCTTCTTGTGGCAAAGAAGCAAATCCTCTTCTGACGTCGTTCAATCACTTTGAGAAACTATATATAGGTCCTCTTGTTGGAGTGGAACAGCTCAAACTTGGCATCCAGGGGTACATTCCAGGCTGTAGCATGTTCATCGTCATTTTTTCCCTATCGTTTTGATAAGGGCTAGCTTTGTTTTCCAGCATTCCTCTTGCATCTTATTCACAACTGACTTGTCTCGACTTTGGGCATGTTAGACATAAATTTTTTTGGAGTAGCATTTAAATCCTTCCATGTTCGTTTCTTTTCTTTTTCAGTTGTTGATAATTGAGGGAAAGGGGCAGGAAAACAGCAGGAAAGGATAAATGATATCACTTATGCCTCCACCTGAGTCTGGTGTTCCAAGCCACCTGCTTAGTCTCCATCCCTCTGTCTTGCTGGTGTCAGAGCAGTCTGTAGCAGCAGCTGCAGCAGCCCCAGATCCCATATAAGTGGGAGGAGAAGGGGGAGGGCACACTGGAGAGGAGGAGGAGGAGGAGCCCTGGCTACTCTTTTGATGAGTACTCTCTGCCTCCTTGCACAAACCTCATATGCTCTATTGAATCAGAGTCAGTTAAGTCAACACGTATTTAATAAGCACCTACTATGCACCAGACACTGTGCCAAGCACTGGAGTTACATAGAAAGGCAAAAATAGTCCTAGCCTTCAAGGAGCTCACAGTCTAATAGGGGAAACAACATGCAAACAACTGTGACCAAATAAGATATGTACAGGATAAATTGGAGAGAATTTCAGGGGGAAAGCACTAATGTTAAGGGGAATTTGGAAAGGCTTCATGCAGAAGGTGACATTTTGCTGAAACTGAGGGAGCCAAGAAAATTAGGAAGTGGAGATGAAGAGGGAAAGGCTCTAGGAACTGTGCTAAGAATACTCCAATGGATCTGGGATCTCATCGATCAGGATGTTTCCTCTGATGATGCACATTGCAGCCCATTCTGTGCAACTCTTTGTCTATGGGCTTCCATAAATTTGCCACTGGGACCCACTCAGGGTACTGGGGGCTTTCCTTGACTTCCCTATGTGTCTCAAGGAATGCCATTATACCATATGTGCTGTCAATTATCCTTTATCTTACCACATGACTGGTCTATCTTTTTCAATCCTACACTTCTTTTATGACATTGATTTGTGTTGCCTCTCTGTCGTAAGCATTATGTTTAAGTCTTCAAAGGCAGTAGTGTTCTATTCAACAAATCCAGCAGGGTGTTGGTACTCAAAAGATGGGTCTTTGTTACTGGGAGAAGTTTGGCATCTAGGACACCAAGAGATAACCTAACAGTCTCTGCCCTTTGGGATGTCACCCTTCTGGAAGCTTCCCTTGGCTACATCAGCCCTTAATGAACTTGCCCTCTCTGAATTCCTGCCTCACAATGTAGTACTCTCCACATATTGCCTTGTATTTTTCAGCTGCGGTTCTGTGTATCTTATCTCCCAAAGGACAACCACCACAACCTAGACTTCTCATTACGCTTTAATATTTATAAACACATTTTGAGGTAGGCACATAGAATCAGAGATCTGGAGCCGGAGGAGACCTTTGAGATCACCCTGTTCAACTGCTTCCTTTTATAGATGAGGAAGTTGAAGCTCACAGAGGTTAAATAACTCTTGGTCTCTGACTCTAGCCTCAGTGCTTCTATCATTTTAGCAAGTTAGTTCAAGTAGTATAATCTTTATTTTGCAGATGTGGAAGTCCAAGTTCAGAGAAGGTATGATACATATCCAAGGTCACAAAATAAATAAAAGAAGTGGGACTTGAACCCAGGACCCCTCCTTTCAGATCCACATGCCCGGAGGGTTTTCAGTGCATCTTCACACCCCACATTGCTCTGCCCACTCCTATACAGAGAAAGGCAAAAACAATGCCAATCCTCAAGAAGCTTACAGCCTCCCGAGGAGACAACAAGCAAAAATTATGTGCAAACAAGGTATTCAACAGTTGCTCAGTAGTTGAATGAAGGGGGAAGGGAAGCCTTGAGGACCCTGGGAGGAAACCTAGACTCAAAACTTTATACCATTGAATAACAGAATTTCAGAGATAGAAGGGAGAAACCAATCCTCGATGCCAGATGGACATTATAAGCAGTACGGTGGAGGAAATGACTTGCCCGAAGTCACGCATATAAATCCATGAGACAGCTGGGACTAGAATCCAGGAGTCCTGACTCAGTGGCCAGTGCACCAGCTGCTTGGATGGGTGCCGTCCCACCTTCCCCCCCAGCCCAACCTAAAGGTCTAGTGGGGAGGCTGGGTGAGACCTCCAAAGGATAGAGCGTTTCTCCAGTTCAGTCATCCTGGGAATGTGGTATATACATGCTTAATTAAAAAAGAAATAATGAAAACAGGACCCAGATCAGACTGATGCCAATTGGAAGCTGGTTATGCCTCTGTCCCTGCATCACACCATATTTTATATTCCTTGTTACACAACAGATTAAACTCCACTACTCTATGTAGCACTTCCTCCATTGCAAACACACATAGATAGGAGCATAAATGTATTCGAGGTTCGACCTCATCATTTAACAGAAAAGGAAACGTGAGGCCCAGGGGAATCCAGGGACTTGCATAAAGTCATAGAGAGAGTAAGCATCAGAGGCTAGATCTAAGCCCAGACCCTCTGACTCCAGAGCCAATGCTCACTTTCCATGGTATCGCTTTAGACTCCCAGGACCGTAAAATGTTGGAGCTGGAAGGGACCTTTACAGATCATCCAGCTCCACTTTTACAGATGAGCAAACTGATTTCACACTGACAGGCAATGTGCCTGCCCTGCCTTGTCCAGTCCAAAGCAGATACCTTCCTCGAGGGATGGTGCAGGAGAGGAGGGGCCTGCCTGGCAGCTTGCATCCCACTGACCCCACAGCAGGGACATTCCAGGACGAGGAGAATCCTCTCCTTGAATCTGCATCTGGTTGGACCCCCACTCTGCAAAGGGGGCATACATCCATCTTGCGTGGATCTGGTGAACCTAAGGGAGGAGTCCTGGGGCTCCACTGGGGTCGGTTAGGAGAAGTTCAGTCTGGGATCCTGGCTCTGGAGCAACTGGGCTGTGTCCTTGGGGACTGGATTCTTCCACAGGCTGCTGAGGAGATGGATGGGGAAGGAATCAGAGGCCACTGACTTCTACGCTGGCATCCCCCAGAGATCAGAGGGCCATAGGATCATAGACTCAGTCTGGGGAGGAACTCAGGGGCCATTTAATCCAACTCCCTCATTTTGTGGCCCAGAGAGGTTAGAAGGGACTTGGTCACACAGCTAGTAAGTGGCAGAACCAGAACCCAGGGCCTATAATTCCAAACCTGGGTACTTTAAATCTGGTTTCTCCTAGATGCTGGAAATACGGGTTGCACTGCTCTTTCAGTGCAGCCTCCCAGCTTATCCCTTCTGCCTCACTTTTTCCTTCTCTAGGACCACATAATTTTTCTCTGACGCCTAGCTTTTCCTTCTTATTTAGCTGAGTCCCTGTCTTTTCCCATAGGAACTCCCTTCTGTTTGTAAGAGTTGTACAGACAGTTTAGAGTCATCTCCAAACTCAATAGCCCTTCCTCACACCCTGCCCTGGGAAGAAGGGGGAGGAGCCAGGAAGCTTGAACCCATGTTTACCATATGACTTGAATTCCAGGACCCTTGGCTAACCCCTTTGCCAGCAGCTGTGCTCCCAGGGAACCGATCTGATTGCCTTCCAAACTTTCCAAAGGATCAGAGAAGAAAGAAATAAAGATGATGGGGTGAGGGCAGAGGCAGGGGCAGGGGCAGGAGAATATGGTTATCATTCCCTCCCTCCATCCTAGACTTGGGCCCAGCTTGGAAAGAGAAGGCTCTTCTCCTTGGTGGGTGCCTCCTCTAGGAAGCAGACCCTCCCAGAAGCAGGGGATTCTACTAGGAGTGCCAGGGCAGAGAGGCCATGGGAGAGTGACTTAGGGAGGGTGCTGGCACCTTGGACCTGGGAGATGATCTTAGTTTAGAGGCAAGGAAATGAACCTGAAGAGCCTTCATTCCAGCCTAATCCCAGGGCCCCTGCTCTTTCATTAATCCTTCCCTGTCCCTCTCTGGTGAATTGGACCCTGCTTCCTTTTTCTCAGTCCTTTACAGCATCCCCATACTCACTCCAATTTCTTCAACTGGTTCATCTGAGGCAGAACACGGGCTAGTTCAGTGGCCCCTTCGTTCCCAAGGGAATTCCAGGCCAACCTGTGAAGAGCCTCAAATATTAGGAGGAAGGGGAAGAGGAGGGGAGCAAGTGTTGATGGGGGAAGGGAATGTCCTAGGATGGCAGGAGAATAGATTTGGATTGGAGAGAGAGAAAGGTGGGGGAAGGGCGGTGTTCCAGACCCATGAATCTGATGTTTGGGGGATCCCTGCCTCCCTGCTCTGCTCCTCCAGGCTTACACTAACAACATAATAATCGCTCCTATGGTATAGGAATTTGCAGAGCCCCTCTGCATCAATGCTCTCAATGCATTGTTACAACATCTGCACTAGGGAAGCAGGGTGGGGTTTATTAGCCTCATTGTACAGGTGAGAAAACTAAGGCTCAGAGACAAAGTGATCTGACCAAGATGCCATCAGGGACAAGATCCTCCTGCTTTCCAGTTCTGGGCTTTTTGTACTCACAGGATCTCCTCAAGGTCATGGCAGAGAACCAAGCTGCTGGCAAGAGGTTTGGTCATCTGGTCGTTAATCTTGCAGGATGTGAGGCTGGGAGAGGAAAGGGGAATTTGGCCAGGGGAACCCTGAACAAGGAGACCCCACCAAGCTCCCCTAGGCACTGCCTACCCACCCTAGCTGTTGGGAGTCAGAGTTGGTGTGCACTAGGGTAAGGAAGACTGTGATTAGGTACGGTCCAAGGCAGGTCCCTGAGGGCCTGTGAGCTAGGCAGTGCATGGGGGTCATGGTCCTTAGGCCATGAATGACCAGAATGAGAGAAGAAGAGGCCCTGGACTTACACCCCATACAAGGCAGGTCTAGGCCTCCGGGGGAATAAGAAGGAACACAGCCTTTCTATCTAGGAGAACAAAGCAAGGGGATTTACTTAATCTTTCTGAGCTTCAGGAGTCCCTTTGAGAGAGGCAGAATCCCTTCAGCAAAGATGTTCTCTTCCAAGCTGCCAGGCAGATGAGAAGAGTCAATGAGAGGCTTCCCTGGCTGTTCCTCAGCCCTTATCCTCTCTCTCCCTCCTTCCCTTACCTCTCCATCCCCTCTACTTTTACCTGACCTCTTCTATCGACTGGCATCTGGCAAGGGCCTGGCCCAGGCTCAGTGTTCCCTCGGTGCCAATCTGGTTGGAACAAAGGCTGTGAAGATAGAGGAAACAAAGTGTAACAGCCACCCCACCGGGGCAGCTGTGGGTATAGAGAATTCCAAGTGGATGGAGGAAAGCTCATAGGCTTTTCCACTTCCAGCTGTCCATCAGCCTGGACATTCACCTACAGATGGTATCTCTCAGACAAGATCAACCCCTTGTGGAATTTCTACAGACAGACCTTTGGCCATGCCTCTCAGGTCCCTCTCCTCCCACTAAGCCCCACTCTTGGGCCCCAGGATCTCTCACTGCTGTGCCCCACTCAGGCCAGAGGGTAGAGGTGCCCACAATTAACTAAAATCATCTACCTCACACTTCCACTGAAGCCTAGACCTGCTGACCAGTCTCTCTCGGCCAGCAGCACTCCCTGCCTCCTCCTCGTCCCACACACTATCCTCTGCACCACCTTCCCCAAAGTCGGAGGGTTTCCCTTCCTCTCCACCCCCAAATGTCATGCCACCATTCCCCTCGCCTCTCCCCCAGCAGAGATACTCACTACAAGACTTTCAGATTTTGTGGCAGGTTCTGGGCAAGCCTTATGGCCATCAGGTCCCCCATTGTGTTGGCCCCCAAGCTGAGAGAGTAGAAGTAACCCTAGGTTACACAGACACTCTGGCCATTTTAGCCCCATTGTAAGGAGCCTGGATCACAAAAATCAAGAGGGATGGGAGAAGGGGCAGACGGGGCTGAGGATGTGGGTAAAGGAAATAATCTCCCCATTCTCTGTTTTCCAGGGACCAAAACTCACTGTAACTCCTCCACCTGGACACAGAGCGTCAGTGCCTCAGCTAGCTTCTGGCCTCCTGTTGGGCTGATGCCGTTCCATGAGAGGCTAAAATGTCCCCACCCCACCCCCCAGAAAGAAGCTATGTCACATATATGAAGTTATATTGCATAATTTGGAGAAAAGAGGACTCAGGAAACAGAAGTCATTTCTTGTTCTACTCTCCCCCATCATTCCATCTCTCCCCAGTGCATAGAGGGATACCCTCTCCTATGCTTTTCTTCCACGTACAAGAAGTTGGACCATAAGGTATAAGGTTACTTTCTCCTCCAACCCCAGGAACTTTCCTCCAGGTCATTCTAAACACACAACCCAGGACCCTTAGAGATGTCCATTTTAGCCAGTGACCACCCTACTCCCATCCCCCAAAATTCTCCCAGCTCCTTAGACAGATTTCAGTCTTGAATTCCTGCACCTAAACCAGGGGTGTTATCTCTCATCTATAATCCACACCCTGTGTCCTGGTTCAGATCTCAACAGGGCTCTCCTGCCGTGAGTCAGTCTGCCTGAGTTCTGGGTAAGGGCCAGTATAATAAAGGAGAAAGAACACTAGAATGGGAGTCAGAGGACCTGAGTTCAAATCCCAGTTCTACCACTTACTACCTATGTGACTTTGGGTAAATCACTTGGCCTATTTACTCATTTGTAAAATGAAGGGGGTGGGCTATGATGACCTCTAAGGTCCCTTCCAACTCTAAAGCTATGATCTTATGAACCCAGAGAAGTCACCAGCTTCTGCCTGGTCCTTGCTCTCCAATTCCTCTATAATAAGCCCTTTGATTTCTGGTCTTGGACACTGCATATGAATCCCATTTTGCCACCAGAAGGGGATCTCATGGATGTGAAGGGGAGGCAGAGGTTTTTAGAGTCAGGCTGAGACTCCAAGGCCATGTAACTGCTCTATGAGATTGGATACCTCTCCTATCCTCTCTTCCCACAACACCCTGGGGAGATGTTCATCTCCTCATGAGCTATAGCACAGTCCTGATTTGGGGGGCTGTGGTTCAAAGTTGAAATGTCAATATTGCCCTGCGGGTCTCCAAGTTACTCACTCAATCTTTCTGAGCTGCAGCAATGTGGGCAGGATGGGTGATAAATGCTGCACCCCAGCATCTTCAATCTTGTTGCGGCTCAAGCTTGGAGACAAAACACAGTATTTCTCAGGCAAGGACATTCATGGAGCTTTAGGTCTATGATGCTAATAATTCTATCCAGCAGATGTGTGCTGTTGGTCACCAGGGGACCGGGGAAAGGCAGTGAGGATGATTCAGTACAAGCCACTGCTGAAAGTACATCCTGAGTAACAGCAAAATGGACGTTTATATAAATGCTTCAAGGGTTCCACACAGGAATAGGTACTAGACCTGTGGTGTTATATTAATATAGGGCATTTCCAGGCAGAAAGGAAGGCAGGAAGGAAGGAAGCAAGGAAAGAAGGAGCATTTATTAAGTGCCTATTGCCAGGCACAGTGGTACATGCTTCATTATTATTGTCTCATTTTATCTCAGATAAAAAAAAAAAACCCTCTACTACAACAGATTGGCACCTTTTCTGCAACTTAAAGAGTTGCAAAGAGCACTGAGAGGTGACTTATCCAGGGTTTCCCTGCCAAGATGTGCCAGGGGTGGGACTTGAACCCAGCTGTGGTAGCTACAGGTATTATCTCCATTTTACAATTGAGGAAACTAAGACTCTGCATATAAGCAAGTGTGGGAGGTGAGACTTGAACCCATGTTCACTCTGACCCCAAGTCCAAAACTCTTCTTTTCCTCTACATTATATACCTGTACTACTCATGGGGCATGACAGCATCATGTATGCATGTGGACCAGTCAATCAATAAGTATTTATTAAGCATCTGCAATATATTAGGCATTGTGCTAGGTGCTGTGGATACTCATGCAAAGAATGGAACAATCCCTATATGTAAGGAACTTATATTCTGCATCGATCTATATGTGTGTATATATGCACATATACATATATGTATGTATGTATATATACATGTAGAATGCAGGTTCTTTGCATATATGTACACATACATATCATAAATACAAAGTGACTGCAAATATATATATACACACATATATACATGCACATACGTATGTGCATACATACATATAACAGTTAAAAACAAGGTAGTTTGGAAAGAAAGGCACTAGCAATTGGGAGGACTGGGAAAGGCTTCATGTAGAAGGTGAGGCTTGTCCTATAGGAAAAGAGGAACTCTCTGAGTTGGAGGTAAGGAGGCATTCCTTTGAGCTGTGTAGACAGCCAATGCAAAAGCACAGAGATGGGAGATAGACTGCTCTGTTTGAGGAAAGAGAGAACTTGTCTGGTTTGAGGAGTGCTGAAGGGAGAATAGTGTCTATCGAAGCTGGAAAGATTGTTTGGGGACAGATTGTGAAGGCTTTGAAAGTTAAAAAGTTTTAAAAGTTGAAAAGAGTTTCTATTTGACCCTAGAGTCAATAGGTAACCATGAGAGTTGGCTGAGTAACAGAATCACATAGTCAGATCTGCATATAAGGAAAATGACTTTTGTAGCCATGTGTAGGATGGACCAGAGTGGTGAGAGATCAGGCAGGGAGACCACTTGGCAGGCTGTTGTGATCATCTAGGGGGGAATGATAAGGATCGAAACTGGGGCAATATCATTATTGTCATCTTTGGATTTTATTGGTGGTGATTCTTCAGTCACAGACACTCCACGAGTTCCCATATTCCCCAATGTGGAAACTAAATTCCTCTGTTGCCCTTTGTGCCCCATTCCCTTATGCCTTCTCTTTAGGAGATCAAATTTTCCATACATTCTATAAAGATCTCTGTGGTGCCCAGCACTCCTTGGATCCCAACTGTACAAATGAAAGGATGTGGGAGGCCATGAGAGGGGACAGAAATCAGAGAAATGACTGGCCTCTGTCCCACACCTGGCACTTCTGAGTCTGAGAGGCTGGAGAAAGGGGCAGATAGACTTACTTCAGATCTTCTAAGTTGGTAGCATTCCTGAGGCAAGCTGACAGGTGGGAGCAACCGATGCTGCTGAGGCCACTGTTGCTCAAGCTGTGGAGAGATGTGGGAAACATCCCCAGTGGCCATTAATCTTGGGCTTAAACTTGGGTGGTGAAGTCCAGATGAGAAGACTGGGGGTAGGGTAGGAGTTTGAGAGTATAGCAAACTTCCTGACAAGGGTAGATGAGGTGGGCATTATAAGTTTTCATGATGTCAAGCCAGTGGATGGAGCTTTGGGCATTAAGGGACAGATGACACTGGGGAAGGGAAGAAGTCCTTGAAAGTCACATCACTAAAGGTGGGATGGAGATGGAACCTGACAACCTCCGTTCTCTGTTGTCTCACAGAGACAACCCTGTGGCTTACTAGATCACTTCCCAAATGCCTGCTGAAATAACCTGACTCTATACTCTGATTCTTCCCATTGCATCAGTTCCTGGAGACCATAGCCAGGAGTAGAGGGCAAATTAAGGGCATCTGGGGATTTAGAGCTTGAAGGAACCTTGGGATCTAGTAAAACTCCCTCATTTTACAATGAGGAAACTGAGGCATCGAGAAGTGAAGCGACTTGTTTAAGGTCTCACAGGTGCTAAGTAGCAGATCCAGAAGTCAAATCTGGATCCTCTGACTTCAGATCGATTCCTCCTTCTGCTTGCTGTACATGGCTACCTCTGGTCACTAAAGACTATGGAGTTAGTGGGGTGGAGGTGGCCCCACTGAAATTCCTGGGGTCTAATAAACACAGGAAGAACTCACTCAAGTCTTTGTAGGAGGGACATTCCCCGAAGTCTCTGGGCTAGTTCATTCAATACCAGGACATCCAGTTGCAGGGAACTGAGGCTATAGGAAGAGGAACCCAAGACAACTCAGATTGAATACCTTAAGGAAATGTACTGAGATGACAGTTTACAACCAAGGTCTGTTCTGGAAAGGATTTTGTCCTTTTAGAAATGTGTTTTAGCTGAGAGTCTTGCAATTCCAAACTTTAGAACAGAGGCAAATTGTAAGAGCTGTTCTTGCTAAGGGAACACTTGTACTGAAATTTCAGGGCACAGCACACCAAGGAAAGGACAGGACGACCAGGGGCTCGGTCCACCTAGGAATATTATATAACAGCCCAATTGTTGTTTAAGTGAGACAGCGGGCAGCCTTTTCACCCTCCCCCACTCTCTCCTACCTTTACTCCCACCCCCTTAGACCGGCCAATCTACTTACTTCAGACTCCTAAGTTGGCACTTCCCTTCCAGAGCTCCCATTAGCACCCTGGTGCTTTCCACACCGAACTCATTCTTGGATAGACTGGAAAGAGCCAAGAACAGGGCAGGGGTGGTCATATCCTTGCCCTTCCTCCCCTACTCTGGGTCCCCTGAGGACATCTCTGGGTTCTCTCCTGGATAAGATCTCTAGCTCTGGAACCAGAACCCTTGGCCTCCTCCTAGGACCAGTCCACATCTCTGTCCTAGGACCAGTCCACCTCTCTGGGCCCCAGATGAAGGGAATGCTGCTGATTGCTAGGGCAAAGGGTCCATAGGCAGTCCTAGTAGTATCTGAAGATGGGAAGGACACTATGACTGAGCAAACAAGGGGACTATAGGCCTGGTACCTTTCTACTCTGGAATCTCCTATAGTAGAATACAGTGGGAAGGCAGACTTAGATCCCAGAAGATCTGGGATAGGGGCAAGGAAGAGGGGAGGGTGGAAGGCCACACATGGTCAGAACCTAGCAAATACAGTTGGCCTGCATCAGCTCCAGGAGCTACAGCTCTCCAAAGGAACTCCTGGCTAAGAGCTATGGAGAGTGGAGCCAGAAATGGGAGGCTGACATATAAAACATGTGGAAGTAAGGAGGGGCATGGGATGAATGTTCTCTTTTGAAAAATGGGGAAATAGAAACAGTGAGGTGGTACAGTGGATAGAGCACCAGCCCTAGTGTCAGGAGGACCTGAGTTCAAATTTGGCCTCAGACATTTAGTAGCTGTGTGACCCTGGGCAAGTTACTTAACCCTGATTGCCTCAAAAAAAGGGGGTGGGGGATGGAGGTCCAGTGAGGGAAGACACTTGTCTAACAAGGTCACACAGCTTTCATAGACATTTTCTTATAGAATGTTTTACAACACTCCTATGAGGCAGGCTGGGAAGTTATTATCATCCCTATTCTACAGATGAAGAAACTGAGGCTCAGAAAGGTAAAGTCACTTGCTAAAGATCACAAAGTAGATCAATGGCAGAGACAGCACTCAGGTATTCTGATCTCCAGGCACCTGAACTTTTTTACTCTACCACTTCCATAAACTGGGCCAAGGAAGGACACAGTGCCAAGCTCTGGGGTGATTTTTAAGTACTTTTAATTGAGCCTAGGAAGGTTCCACTGACCATGTTTTCAAATACTCCCTCCTCAGGAACTGCATACCAACCATACCTTTGGCATGACCCATCAGCACAACTTACTCTAGCTCTTCCACAGTATTGCAATGACTCAGCCCAGATGCTACCTGGCGCACCCCCTCTGGGCTCACCACGATAGCTGTCAGCCTGGCAAAGAAATAAGGACAGCAACCTTTGGTTCAGTGTTCTCAAGCACAGGCGCTTGGGGGAAGGGGTTAGGGGAGGGGTAGAGACGGGATGGGTCATCAGGAACGGGGCAGACTCTGAACGGACTGTCCCTTCCCAACTTTCCTCCCCCATCTTTCTAGGATCATTCATCTATAGATTATCTAAGAAGCAGGACGCGGACCAAATGACTTTCAGTCCAAGTGTTTGGGAATAACAGGATATGGCTGAGGCAGTGAGCCAAGCTGTGTGTGGGACATCATTTAAAAAAGGCTCCATGTCTTACCTGAGTTTCTTCAATTCAAGGAGAGACAGAAGCAGAGTCTTGAGTAGCTGGGTGCTGGCATCACACAAGTGAACCTGGGACCAGCTATGGGAGAAAATAAATTGTTCAGAAAGCATCAGAGCTAGAAATGACGTGGGAGGTCATCTCATACAAACCCTTGTTTTAGTGGATGTAGGACCAAGGTACAGAGAAATAATCTCAGAGGTTACACAGTGAGTCAGTTGGAGACCCAAGACTAGGGTATGTGCTGAGGAATCCGCTGCCACCTGAAGTCTTAGCAAAGCTGCGACATCTTTGTGAAACTTAACAACAAATGTGAGCTATTGTTACCGTTATCATCATCCTATCACCCAACTATGAGTATTTGCTTTCAAATCCCTGATTTCATTCCATCTTCACAGTATCCTCTGGAAATTAGGAGGGGCAGGAGTAAGTCTTTCCATTTGAAAAATGGGGAAACTGAGGTCTAAAGAGTGGATTAGCCTTGCTCAAAGTCACAGAGCCAGGGGGCAAAGTCAGGACAAGAACCCAGCTCTCTTGGGCCAAATCTATTGCTCTTTCCACCATACTACCATAGCCTTTGTTGACAAAATGTGCTCACGTCCAAGTCTGTTGAGAGTTGCCTTCCAAATCACACAGCTGAAAAGAACCTTGGCAGCTGTCTAGTCAACTCATATCCAAGAGAAATTCTTAACTATATATATATAAATTCCTACATATCCAGCAGGTGGTCATCTAGGGCTTGTGTGGGGGAAAGGACTACCCGTAGAAGCAGGACATTTCCCTTTGTGGACAGTGCTAATTACTAGAAAGCTTTTCCTGACATCAAACCTACATTTTTCTCTTTGGAACTTTCTCCTCTTGCTCCTGGTTTTAATTCGTTGAGCTCTAAAAGAATAAATCTAATACCTCTTCCATATGACGGTCCTTTAAATACTTAAATTGTCCCCCTTGAGCTTTCTCTTCTCCAGGCTAAACACTAAACACCCCCAGCTCCATCAATCAATTCTTATATAACATGGACTCAAGACCCTTTACCATCTTATGTCCTTCTTTTTTATGACTTAATTTTTTTATTAATTAATTTATTTTTAGTTTTCAACAATCACTTCCATAAGCTTTTGAGTTTTAAATTTTTCTCCCATTCTCTTTCCGCCTCCCTTCCCAAGACGGTGTACAATCTGATATAGGCTCTATGTGTACATTCCTGTTAAACATATTTTCACATTAGTCATGTTGTAAGGAAGAATTAGAACCAATAGGAGGAACCACAAGAAAGAGGAAACAAAACAAAACAGAAGAAAAAAAAGAGAAAATAGTATGCTTTGATCCATAATCAAACTCCATAGTTCCTTCTCTGGATGGGGATAGCATTTTTCACTATGAGACTTTTGGAGATGTCTTAGATCCTTGCATTGCTGAGAAGAGCTAAGTCTATCAAAGTCAGTCATCACTCAATGTGGCTATTACTGTGTACAATATTCTCCTGATTCTGTTCACTTTGCTCAGCATCAGTCCATACAAGTCTTTACAGGTTTTTCTGAAGTCCTCCTGCTCATCATTTCTTTCTTTTTTGTTGTTGTTGTTGTTGTTGTTGTTGTTTTTTTGCTCATCATTTCTTACAGCACAATAGTATTCCATTACATTCAAGTACCACAACTTGTTCAACCATTCCCCAATTGATAGGCATCCCCTCGATTTCCAATTCATGGCCACCACAGAAATATCCTATGTCCTTCTTAAACTGAGCCAAACTAAACTAAACACAGTATGTGGTTCAACCTGGGCAGAGAACAATGATAATATCACTTCCTTCTTTCTAGAAGCTCTCCCTCTCTTAATGTAGGCCAAGATTGAATTAGTGCTGGGGGTGCCACATCACACTGCTAACTCATATTGAGCTTATACTTCATGAAACCGCCTCCCCCCAGATCTTTTTCAGAACAATTGCCATAACTGTCTAACTGCCATAACAACTGTCCATAACTCTTCCATCTTATATATGTGGTTATCTTTTTGTAACCCCTCTTGAACTTCATCTTACCAAATTTAGCACAATGTTCTAGCTCACGTTCTAGTTTTATTGATTGTCAGCAGTCAATAAAAACTTATCTTAATTACCTACCATGTGCCAGGCCCTATGCTAAGTGCTTGACATATAAAGAAAGGCAAAAGACAGTCCCTGCCCTCCAGGAGCTCACAGTGTAATGGAGGAGGCAATATACAAATAAATATATACAAATGAGCTATACAGAGTAGAAATTGGGAATTATTGTTGTTCATCCTTCTTTCTTGAAGAAAACCATGACGTCAGGAAGGTGATGCCATGACATGCAAGTGAATTGGATTTAAGTGAGGAAGGTCTGTGCAAAGTCACCAGCCTCACTTTCTCCTCCTGAGCCATCTGGGTCCAGTGGCCAGATACAGATCAGGATGACTGGAGATGGCCCAGGATGCAGTGGGAGACTTTGGCCTTTTTAAGCTAAGGTCTTTCCCAGGTTTCAGTTTGTCTGAGGCAATGCCCATTCAAGTGATTAAGGCTAGTAAGAAATGAGGCAAGAGAATGGCCTCTTCAAAAAAAAAAATCAATCTGGGAGGGGAAGACCCTCAGGGTTTTTGGCCAAAACAGAAATAGTTGCTATTTGCATCCACTCTGAGCCATTAGGACCCAAACAATGACCAGGTGGGGCTTGGGCTGGGACCTACAGGGATTTTAGTTGGAACTTGAAAGAAGCCTGGGAAGATAGGAAGCTGAGATAAGGAAGGAGAGCATTCCAGGCATGTGGAAGAGCCAGTGAAAATGTGTGGAATCTGGAAATGGTGGTCTTGTTCAATGAACAAATTGCAAAGAGGTCAGTGTCACCAGGTTTTAGAGAAAGTGGAGGAAAATAAGTGTATGATGATTGGAAAGGTAGAAAAGGGCTTTAAAAGCCAAACAAAGGATTTTGTATTTGATCCTGGAGGTGCAGGGAGCCACTGGGTAGCGCTGAATGGGCTTAGATCAGCACTTCTTTTGGGATTCTGACTGTTAACCAGTGTGTTAGCTAGCCATCCTAGCTTTGTGTTATCTGCAAATCAAAGGATCATGCCATCTAGATCTTTATCCAAGTCATTGATAAAAAGGTTAAACAACAAAGGGTAAAACACAGATCCCTGTGGCACTCCACTACAGACCTCCTGCCATGCTGACATTAACAACTACACTGTGAGTCTGCCTCCTCAACCGGTTCCAAATCCATTTACCATCTGATCCGCTTTTCTCTGTCTTTCCTCCAAGATAGTATGCAAATAGTTTGCTAAAATCTAAGTGTTCAGTTTTTTTTTTTCAGTCGTGTCTGACTCTTTGTGACCCCATTTGGGGTTTTCTTGGCAAAGATACTGGAGTCATTTGCCATTTCCTTCTCCAGCTCATTTTACAGATGAGGTAACTGAGGCAAACAGAAAAGTGACTTGCTCAGGGTCACACAGCTAGTAAGAACCTGAGGCCAGATATGAACTCAGAAAGATGAGGCTTTCTGATTCCAAGCCCAGTGCTCTATCCACCACACCACCTAGCAGCCAAAATCTAAGTAAGCTACACCTACAGCATTCTCCTAATTTGCTAGTTTAGTAACCCTGTCAAAAAAGGAAATGAAGTTAGCCTGGCATGATCCCTCCCTGAGGAGACTATGCTGGCTCTTCATGATCACTGATTCCTTTGATAGATGTTCGCTGACCATCTCCTAAATGATCTATTCGAGAATTTTCATGAAAATTAAAGGTCACAGGCTTATGCAGTTTGCAGATTCTGTTCTCTTCCCTTTTATGGAAATGGATAACATATGCCCTTCTCCTAGGCATTACCTCTCTCATTTACCATGATCTTTTTAAAAAAAATATTTTTTCAATTAACAAAAAAACCCTATTTTCTCTCCTATGACCTTACAGATATTACTGACAATAACTTTACTACATGAGGCTATAACTTATCTGGGTCAGGTAACGAATTCATCAAGGTCAACTAGGTGGTCTCTTCCTAGCTCCTCATTTTTGTTTTTTTGCATCAAATCTTGGTTAGCCATTTTTGTTCTGTCACTGCCAATGCAAAAACAAAAAACAAACAAACAAAAAAAAAACCACCCAGGGGCAGCTAGGTGGCGCAGTGGATAGAGCACTGGCCCTGAAGTCAGGAAGACCTGAGTTCAAATACGACCTCTGACCAAACACTTGTCACTAACTAGCTGTGTGACCCTGGGCAAGTCACTTAACCCCAACTGCCCAAAAAACCAAAACAAAACAAAACACCCAAAACCCAAAACAAACCCCAGAAGCAAAATGAGATTTGGGAAGCTCAGCCTTCTCTGTAGTCAGTTATCGTGGTCCCATCCATGTTGGGATATGGAAACGGACCATGTAGGTCTTCCTGAGCCCAACCAATACTTCTAATCTCTGACACAACATCATGGAGGGATGTTTGGAGTTTGTCCCAAGGCTTCTGGTCACCTACACCACGATTTTTACACAACCCAGGGGCAGAGAGATAAATGGAGGCTGAGCCTCAGAGATATACTCACCTAAGCTCCTGCAGTCTGATGTACTTTTCAACTACCCGCCTGATGGCAAGGTTCTGGCTGGCTGCTAGGTCATACTGGATCAGTCTGCAAGGAAATGTCTGACCAGCTCCTAGGTCACACTGAGCCAGTCTGTAAGGAAATTGAGGGAAAGAAGATTCAGTTAAATTGCACAAGATGCCTACTATATGGTAGATGCTGGGTATATAAAGGCAAAATGATAGTCCCTGCCCTCAAAAAGCTTCTAATTCTTTTGCATGAGGTCTATAAGCTTATGCCTCTCGCCAGCTTTTCTCAGCCTTAAGAAACTCATTTTCCTAGAGGAGGTGATTTATAGAAAGACCTCCAAGGGAAGGGGTCATATGTGAATTCATGAAAGTCTCAGGTTCATTATGGGCTTGGCTGGCATTATCTTAGTGATAGGATACTTAAACTTGGGTCCATGAACTTGCTTTTAAAAAATATTTTAATAATTGTATTTCAATGTAATTGGTTTCTTTTGTAATCCTATGCATTTTATGCATTAAAAAACATGATTCTGAGAAGGGGTCCATAGGCTTCACCAGTCTGCCAAAGAGGGCCATGACACAAAAAAGGTTAAGGCCCCTTGGTTTAGTGGGTTTTTACATAAAGTTCAGGGTGGCTGGGGCCAGTAAGCTCCAGATGGACATGTCAAGTTAATTATTTACTAATAGAATGTTAGAGGGGAAACTCCCCAACATGGACTTTTAATTGTGGTCACCAAAATCCTTCTGGAGTTTCTTTTGAAATTCAGAGGGGGCCAAAAGTGTCCAAGTCTGCTCTGGGGAGGCTGAAGCTGATGGGCAGCTGGAAATCAGCAGTTCTGGGCTGCTGTAGGGTTAAAGCCAATCAAGTGTCCACACTAAGTCCTTTACCAATGTGGTGAGTCACTGGGACTGGGGGTGGGGGAGTTTAGTGGGGGAGGGAGAGTACTAGGCTGCCTAAGAAAGGGCAAAATGGCCCAAACTGGAAACAGAGCTGGACAGAGCTTTTGTGCTGATCAGCAATAGGATCTTGTCAGGAATTGCCACTGAACTTCCAGCTAGTTAAGTAGGAAGAACGGTAGAAAGGATAAGAGAAGGAAGAAGAAGAGGGGCAGGAAGAGGAAGAAAAGAAAGAGAAGGAAGAAGAAAAAGAGGAGAAAGAAGAAGGGGAAAAAGGAGGAAGAAAAGGAAGAAGAGGAGGAAAAACTGGAGGAGAAGGAGGAGAAGGAGGAGGAAGAGAAAGAGAAGAACAAGGAGAAGGAGGAGGAGAAAGTGAAGGAAGAGGAGAAGGAGGAAGAGGAAGAGGAGGAGAGGGAGAGGGAGAGGAAAAAGGTGAAGGAAGAGGAGGAGAAATCAGAGGAGCAGAAGAAGAAAGAAGAGGAGGAAGAGAAAGAAGAGGAGAAGGAAAATAAGGGAGAGGAGGAGAAAGAAGAGGAGGGAAGGAGAAGGAAGAGAAGGAGGAAGAGAAGAAGAAAGAGAAAGAGAAGAAAAAAGCAGGGGGAAGGGGGATAAATTTAGAAAGAGTAAGAAGTTCTGCTTTTCATGGGAGTGTGAACCAGGCTGAAGATATAAGCAGCTTCAATAAAAGTTTATCTGAATTCCTGAGTAAGAGACCCCTCCTGTGTTGTTAAATGAAACTGTTAGTTTGGGACTTTTCTCTTTTAGATCTCACAGAGCCCTGTTTGTACCATTCCAATGCACTTGTAATATCTTGTATTATAATTATTGTGTTTATGTACAGGCATCTACTAAACTGTAAGCTCTATGAGAACAGAGACTGTGCCTCATTTAAACTTTGTATTTCCCCCAGAACCTAGCCTACAGCTCTGCACAAAGTAGCCACTAAATAATTGTTTGTTGAGTTGAATTCCTTGACTTTAATTCTGTTCCATAGGCTGCCACCTCATCAGTGCATGTGATTGCCTACTAGGTAGGGAAAGAGAGAATGTGGAAGGCTTCATGTAACCCATCCCTACTACTGGGGAAAGAACTCAAAGTATATACCTCATGGGTCAAGAGAGTCATTTTGATGGTAAAACGGCTATCAGCTCTGCCCAGGGCATAGACGTATTTGTATTACTTTGAAACATGCCACTTAATAATGCCATGGTATATCAAATTAATATTGACTTATCAGAGTTAACCAATTGGATTAACTAACTCAATCTCCATCCCACGGGGCAAGAAGGACTTTATTGAGTCCTGTGGGATGAAATTAATCAAGAAAAGGGCTCTGGAGGATTTTTTTTAACATTTGGACCTAGGTCCATCTACCCACCAGCCCTAGCCAGAGTCTACAACAACGTGGAGACACAGAAGACCCACCCGAGTACTGGAACTTACCTGAAAATTGCGACTGCAGGATTCTCTGTCTGCTGGGGAAATGCCTCTTCGATATGGAGGAGAGACTGTTGTCTGGAGATGCTAGGAGAAGGAAGAAGGGTATGCTTAAGGGCCTGGACTTTACAGTTATATTATCATAGGAACACAGATTTTTTAAATGTTAATATATAATTTTCTTTTTTCTTCTTTTTTAAATAATTAATTAATGTATTTTTAGTTTTCAACATCTACTTTCATAAGATTTTGAATTTTAAATTTTCTCCCCCTCCCTCTCCTCCCCCTCCCCAAGATGATGTGTAATCTGATATAGGCTCTACTTATATATTCATATTAAGCATATTTTCACATTAGTCATGATGTAAAAAAGAATTAGAATTAATGGGAGGAACCACAAGAAAGGGGAAACAAAACAAAACAACAGAAGAAAAGGAGAGCAAATAGTATGTTTTCATCTGCATTCAGACTCCATAGTTCTTTCTCTGGATGTGAAAAGCATTTTCCATCGTGAGTCTTTTGGAGTTGTCTTAGATCCTTGCTTTGCTGAGAAGAGGTAAGTCTATCAAAGTCAGTCATAGCACAACACGGCTGTTACTATGTGCAGTGTTCTCCTGGTTCTGCTCACTTCATTCAGCATCAGTCCATACAAGTCTTTTCAGGTTTTTCTGAAGTCTGCCTGCTCATTATTTCTTATAGCACAATAATATTCCATCATATTCATGTACCACACCTTGTTCAGCCATTCCCCAATTGATGGGCATCCCCTCAACTTCCAATTCTTTGCCACCACAGAAAGAGCTGCTATAAATATTTTTGTACATGTGGGTCCTTTTCCTGTTTTTATGATCTCTTTGGGATACAGCCCTAGAAGTGGTATTGCTGGGTCAAAGGGTATGCACAGTTTTAAAGGCCTTTGGCCATAGTTCCAAATTGCTCTCCAGACTGGCTGGATCAGTTTACAACTCCAGAACATAGATTTTATGTTTGAAGGGACCTCAGAGGTCATGAAATCTAACTCTTCTTATTTTACAGATGAGGAACTGAGGCCCAGAGAGGTTAAGGGACTTGTCCAGGATCACACAGCTGTTAAGTGTCTGAGTCACTATTCAAATTCAGATCTTTCTGAGTAATCTATATATTATGTCATGGTGTTTGTAAGAATATATCAAGGATTAGATGACCTCTAAAGCTGCCCCTAAGTAGCCCCAGAAATCATTTTTTTTTCTTTCAGTGTATGGACCTTGACTTCCCAGAATCATGGAATATTAGAGCTGTAAGAGATTTTCCAGATATTCAAGCTCAGGGAGAAGTGACTTACCCAAAGTCCCAAAGCCAGTAAATTGCAAAGCTGGATCTCAGTTCCAGGTGTCCTGACTTCAAGTCCAATGCTCTTTTCACTAGAATTCCCTGCCCACCCTCTACCTCTAGTGATCAGAAATTCAAATAAAAAATTTTCAAATTTAAAAATTTCAAATTCAATTGCAAATCAGTTTATTTTCTTCTTTGATAACAGTGTGAGCAAGAGGGTAAAGAGTTGTTCTGGATCATCTATAATTCCCAGTGCTCTCTCTGTCCCCAGTTATTCCCTGTCCCCTAAAGGGGAGAACTGGAATCAGAGACAGAAAGGGCCTTGGTAATTCTCGAGTCTAATCCCTTCATTTTACAAATGAGGAAACAAAGACTTGTCCAAGGGAAGTTATTGTTAAGTCATTTCAGCCTGACTCTTTTGTGACTGCATTTGGGGTTTTCTTTTCTTTTCTTTTTTTTTTTTTAGTGAGGCAATTGGGGTTAAGTGACTTGCCCAAGGTCACACAGCTAGTATGTGTCAAGTGTTTGGTCTGAGGTCGGATTTGAACTCAGGTCCTCCTGACTTCAGGGCCGGTGCTCTATATACTGCGCCACCTTGCTGCCCCTATTTGGGGTTTTCTTGAAAAAGACACTGGAGTGGTTTGCCATTTCCTTCTCCAGTTTATTCTACAGATAAGGAAACTGAGGCAAATAGGGTTAAGTGAGTTGCTCAGGGTCACACAGCTAGCAAGTGTCTGAGGCTGGATTTGAACTCATGAAGATGAGTCTTCCTGACTCCAGGCCTGGCTCTCTATTCACTGTCTATCCACTAATTGTCCATAATCAATGAACCCAGATTCTCTGGCTCCAGATCCAGCATTCTTTCCACTGCACCATCTCTAAGGCCCTGTAATTCACAGAACCATTCCTGAAGCTAATAGGAATAAGCTTTAGCCCTGTGTACATGCAGGGGTCTAATTTTAGAAACTATGGATCCCCAGGTGTCTTCCCAGCTCCCTTACCTTATCTTAGTGATGTTGCCTGAAGCCTGGATGCTTGCATCTAGCAGGGCGGTGACACTGGTCATGGTCATCCATGGCTCTTCAACACTGTAATTAGAAACAGATATGGACTTCTTAGAACCAGCAGCAGAAAAAGGGAACCTGTAGCCTATTTAACACTCTTTTTTTAGTCCCTTTTTTTGTTCTCAGTCTATTTTCCCTGGATCTAGGTCACAGAACACAGAAATCTGAGAGAAACAGCTTTTTGGGGGTATGGGTGACAATAAATTAGTCAAAGGAGATTCTAGGTTGTTTAAAAAAAACTGTTCTAGGTGCGTCAATATAAAAACCCCAACAAGTCCAGATACCTCAGAAAATAGTTCTGGACACTGCAAAACAAGTCATAAGCTTCCATTTCCCATATCCCATCTCTGCCACATATCAAAGAGTTCCCCAAACTTGACTAACTCTGTGTGCAGACATACCTGATCCTCAGCATCCCTGGTGGCATTCTCACTAAATTCAAGAGAAGCTGCAACCCTGGTAGTGATACTGTGTTATTGGCCAATCTAGGAACAGAGATTTTTGGAATGAATCCCAAACCCAGGCTGAGCATAGAGGTTGAAGAAAGGAGAACAAATTCTTCCCATGGACATAATAAGGACTGCCCCAGGAAGCCAGAGTCACCTGAGGAGAACTGAAGATGGAGAGGGATATTGAGGTATTGGTATATCTTCCTTGATTAGTTGGCCCCAGGATGAGACAGAACCCCAGAAGAAATTCTGGTTATTAGTCAATAGGATGATGTATGGGAAGTAGTGGAGAGATCACCTGGCCATCACTTTAAGACATCCCTTGCCCAACCCTCCAGTGACATGGGTTATTACCACTCACAAAATAATAATAATAATAATAATGATAATACCCCTATGTATAGATACTGCTATACTTTTACCTATAGTGTTCTTTCACATATGATCAGATACAATATCATTTTATCCTTAAAGCAATCCTGCATGGCAGGCAGTGCAGGAATTATTACCCCAATTTTATAGAGGAGGAAACTGAGGCTCAGAAATTGTAAGAGTCAGCACTGGTTTTTCACTTAGTGGTAGAACCATTAGAGTTCAATTCTGGGGTTGAACCCTTTAGCTGATGATGGTACAGTCTATGGAGACCTAAAGATATCAGTTGCTCAGCTGATACTATAAGTAGGTGGATGGTAGCTGGAACCATGGACTGCAACCACCATTCTGTGGTGGCATTGAAATGAGTGTATGAACCTTTAGGAAGGTGGTGTGGAGTTCTAGAAAGGGTGCTGGTTTGAATCCCAGCTCTGCTCCTTATTACCTCTGTGACTACAGGCAAGTCCCCTTCCCTTTCTGGACTTCATGGAATCATAGACTTAGAGCTTAAACAGACATTAAAGGTCATTTCGTCCAACTTCTTCATTTTGCCGATGAGGAAACCGAGGCTCAGAGAGGTTGGGTGATTTGTCCGAGGTCACACAGCTAGTAAGTAGCAGAGCCAAGATACAAACTAAGATTCTCTGATTCCAAATCCAGCACCCTTTTGGGTAACCTGTGCCAGGGCCAGACCTCAGGATGTCTTCTGGGGAACAATCCTCTCAGTGGACCAGGCTCACAGGGACAGAGAATCTGGGATTCAGCTTGTGTATCATTCTGCCTGCCTTCTCTTCCTCCTCTGTAAAGTAAGGGATGTGGACTAGGTGATTTCCAAGTTCGCTTCCATTTCTAAATCTTCTGATCCCCAGAATGCAGCAGCAGAGCCTGGACTAGTGCTCAAGGGTCCTGACTCCCAGTTCAGAGTTCTTCCTTCTACACCACATTGCCAGGCATGCCCTATGGTCTGGCATAAATCCAACTCATTTCGACAATATTTATTCAATGCCTATTGTTTTTGGGTCCAGAATGAGTTACTAATAAAACAAATATGAAACAAGACAGAGCCCATGCCTTTAAGACATCACTGATGGGTTTGGAGCAGGTGGAAGCTTCCTGACTGGGAGCTCCTCCTTCCCTCTTCCCCACCCCCATTTCCCCTTGCTCTGCCCAAGGCACTGGTCTTGGTTGCTTACATGAGATCAGTCAGCTTTGGCACTTGCCCCACCAGGGTGGCCAGCCTCCTGATGTGCTCTTGCTGGAAGTTGAATCTGCTCAGCCTGAGAGGGGAAAAGGCAGAGAGGTCATGGTCAGGCTTATCAGAGGGACTGAATCTGCAGTCTGACAATGAGCTGAGGGTTTAAGTTCCAACTGTTAGCTCAACACTGGATGGAAAGCTCACTGTGGGCAAAGACTTGAATTGGTGTTGGGGATGGGACTGAAGAAGGCAGGAAAACAATCGGTCCTTGGCCTTGGTGAATGAAGAGATTCCTAATTTGAGGTCTGTGAACTTGTCTTTCAAAACTTTTTTTTTTTTTTAGACAATTGGGGTTAAGTGACTTGCCCAAGGTCACACAGCTAGTAAGTGTCAAATGTTTGGTCTGAGGCCAGATTTGAACTCAGGTCCTCCTGACTTCAGGGCTGGTGCTCTAACCACTGTGCCACCTAGCTGCACAATTTTGATAAGCATATTTCAATGTAATTGGCTTCCTTTGCCATTTTCTGTGGTTTATGCACTTAAAAACATGACTCTGAGGAGGGCATCTTAGACTTCACCAGACTGCTAAAGGATCCATGGCATAAAAAGGGCTAAAAACTCCTGATCTAACGGAAGAGACATTGAAACACTGACAAGACAAACACATCAAAAAGCTAAGCCTACTATGTTCAATATGATGACTGTTCATGGTGCCAGAAAATGCCATTACAGAGAGGTGATGGATTTAGGGTGTAGAATAAGACATACATATTTAAAAAAAAAAAGACACACATACTTTTATACACAACCATTGATGGAATTTTTGTCTGTGCATATTTGTTAGAAGAAATTTGTTTTCCTTTCCTTCCCAATGGGTGGGGAAGTGGGAATAGAGAAATACATTTCTGCTAATTATTTTTTTAATTGGGGGGGGGGCTTGCTTACAGATGTGAGATGTTGTATGTGTTTCCAGATAAGGTTACTATGGTATTATTAGTTTTACTCAACTGTTTTACTTTGTTATAAGACAGCTCTCATGAAGTGTGAATAATTTATAATTGGATGAAATGTGAAAACAAAACACATTAATAAAACTTTTTTTTAAAAAGCTGAAATGAAAATGATTTGAGGTACACATAAGGGCTGAAGCAACAAAGGACAATGAAATAGATGGTCCACACTAGAGAGTAACAGGCTGGAAAGGTTTCCTAAAAGAAGAAACAGAATCATAGATTTGGAACTAGTGGGGACCTTGAAGTCATGGGGGGGGGTTGTGGAATCTAACTCTCTCATTTTACAGAGGAAGAAACTGAGGCCCAGAAAGGGAAAGGGAACTGCCTAAGATCACCTAGATAGCAGAACTGGGGTTTGAATCCAGCTCCTCTGGCTCTAAATTCAGTGCTCTCTTCATTATACTATGTTGTCAGGATTTTGAGGGAAGAGAGATATGGTTGGTGGAGAGGAGAAGGACTAACCAGCAAAGGAGAGGGTTCTAATTCCCCTTCTCCTCTCTGCCCACCTCAATCTGGCATTACCTCAGGATCTTTCTGGGCTCTTGGTGCTCTGTGAACTGTATCAGAAACTTCTGCTCTGGATCCAGGCTGCATAGAGAGAAGTGAGTGAACATAGGATAGAAACAGTCCCTGATGAGCCCTGATCACAGGAAACAAGGGATTGGGATGGTAGCATCAAGGTCGAGCACAGGACTTCAGATCTTTGATATCATCTAGTTCTACCGTATCATTGTATATGTGGAAAAACTGAAGTCCAAAGATGGGAAAGTACTTATCTAAGGTCACATAGCAAGTAAATATCAGAGCCAAAACTAGAGCTCCCAGTCCAATGGTCTTCCCACTGCACTCCAAAAATGTCAGTGCCCAAAACACTTTGGGATAGTGAGGTGAGTAGGTGTTGATCTTTCCTTTCCCCCCTATACAAAGGAGACCCCCAAGCTCTAATAGTGGGAAAAGTGAAGTTGGAGGGTGAGTCACTCACCTGACCGAGACTTCATGGGCCTGTGTGCAGGTGGAGAGAGCAATGGTGGAGCAGAGTAGAGCACCCTCCTGAGAGATGTTATTACGGCTTAGACTGCAGTAGGAAGGAGGGGAGAAGGGACTGGGGCTGTGTGGTTGAGACCCTTGGATGCTACTGTAAGGAATACATCCAAGGAGAACTTCCCATCTGTCCTTCCCTCCAGCCACTGCAGGATTCTTGGGAATCAAGAATGCCATTCCCTTACCTCCTCCTCGTCTGTCATGGCCATCATAATAATAATAACTGGCATTTATATAGTGCTTTAAAGTTTGTAAAGTACTTTATATGCATAATCTCATTTGAGCCCTACAACAATCACATGAGAAATATACTACAGGTATTACCCCCATTTTACAGATGAGAAAACTGAGGGTCCAAGAGGCTAAATTACTTGCCCATGAACACATAGCTAGTAAGTGTTAAAGGTAGGATTTGAACCTAGATCTTCCCAGCTCTAAATCCAGCACTCTAGCCTCCACAAAATTGTGCATCCAGTTGTGTGCCTTTGCATCACCTCTGTGCCCCAAAACACCACCCACATTCAGGAAAGGAGAGGGCTGAACTTCCATTGGGATGAGATCACTATCAGTTTGCTAGGAGTTAATTAGCTTGCTGAGTGGAAACATAATGTTAATGAGGACAAGATCTTAGGTTCAATCCCCAAAGGGGCCAGTAAGCTTTTGAAAAAAAGAACTACTATTTATTGACTACAGATCATTGCCTTCCCCTCTTCAACATTTGCTAGCCACAACATAAATACATGGCTTGAAATCAAGGGGACTCACATGAAAAGTGTAGGTGGCTAACTACAACTCCAGCCTCACTGCTAGGGACATAACTCAAGGCAAGAAGTGATGTAGGCTGAAGTGAGATGTCTGGATTATTTATGAATTTTAATGATCCCTTCCCTTGTTATCCATGATCACATGCAGTCAAGTTCACAACAGAGGGACTATTTGGATAGGATGAATAGCAGGAATGAGACTTTCAGCTCTGGCCAATGTCTTGTTTCCCCAGTATCTAGCAAGGATTCTTTTTTACACAGTGAGTGAGAGGAATAGGATAGGATAGGAAGGGATAGGAAGGACCTCAATTCTTTCTGAAGGGATACCAGATCGATGCTTATCTTTATATCCTTCCCTTCTTTATACCAGATATTTTTTTTGTTCTCTTTAATTCCTTGTCTTGAGTTAAATTCTTGGTCAAAAAACCTTGGGGTTCTCATCTAAAGATCGCCCAATAAATGCCTTCCATTGATGGTTTTCTTTTGCTCTCGCCTATTTGCTCCCCAATCCCATAGGATAGTTGCTTTCTTACTTGAGTGAGCCAGAGAGATTCATCTGAGGTAAATGCTTCAGAAGATATTTGAGCCCTTCGTCACCCAGCAAGTTTCCTGACAGACTGCACAAAATGGAACAAGACTAAGTTACCGACCATCTGTTGATGGCTATTATCACCATCACACCATCAGCATCCTTATCCCTCTGCTTTAATGAACACACAGAAAGAACACAACCCTTAGGAGTTACAGAAAACTGACTAGATATAGACTTGCCTTCCAGGGGCTTATACTCTAGAAGAAGAGAAGAGGAAACAAAATGAACAGGTAATGTCCCAGAGTGCTGTGTGGGAGAAGGCCAAGCCCAGATGATTCCCAAAGCAGACCCATGATGAGAATGTCCAGAGAAACTCTCTCAGTACTTTTATCTTCTACCTTTGTCCATTCACACAAGCTGCCATGTGTAGAATGTACCACTGCCTCCTCTCTACTTCCCAGAATCCTTGTCCACCTTCAAGGCTCAGCTCAAGTGTCATCTCTTCCATAAAGCTTTCTCTGAACCCTCTCCCCTCAAATTGCTCATGCTCCCTCCTTCCTCAATTTGCCTCCTACAATACTTATGTGTATATCTATTGTATCTTCTTAGTAGATTAAGTTCCTCAAGGGCTAGGATTGTTTTTATCTTTGTCCCTCTAGCACCTAGGACAGCTACTTTGTATACTCATCTATAGCTTAATTTTTCCCCAGCTCCAACTTACTCAAGGTGACCCAGATCTTTGCACCGCCCTAGTATATGGCACAGCTGCTCCATATCCACTTGGCTGATGCAACAATCTGTGAGCCTGTGAAAGGAAGGACAGACAGGAGATATCTACAAGCAGCAGGAAAGTCCACAGCCTTGACCCCTGCCTTCTGTACCCACAGGTGTATTACTCCTCTCTCAGGTTGCTCCATCCAGCTAATAATGATTAACAATAGCAGCAGCAGCAGCAACAGTAACAACAAAAACAATTGCAAAGGTAGCATTTGCGTAGTATTTCATAGTTTGTAAAGCACTTTATAAATACTTTTCATTTGATCCTCACAACAACCCTGGGAGGTAGGTGATATTATTATCCCCAGTTTCACAGATAAGGAGACTGAAGCAGAGAGTGGTTAGGTGGCTTGCCCAGAGTCATACAGGTAGGAAGCATCTGAGGCCACATTTGAACTTAGGTCTTCCTGATTGATTCCAGGTCCTGCATTCCATCCATGGCGCCACCTAGCTGCTTGAGGATGCTGTCTTAGAACAGCAATATGGGCACCACATCAAAAATCTTTGGGAAACTCCTGACTGTGAGCCTAAACTCTCCTTGGCAGTTTAAATTAGCCTCACAAGTCTTCAGGGAAGGATTATTAGGATGGCTGAAGGTTCCTAAGGGATAAAAATATATAGCAGGGACCATCAACCCATGACTCTGGTGAGGCCCCACAGTCTCTTTAAGGAACAGAATGGGTTAGCTCAGAGGATCATAGGTTGGTGTTAAAGTGACCAAAGTTGTGGGTGTGGTCCCTAAGTGGCTCACCCAGTAGCTTGGCTATTCCAAAATCATAAACTATGCTCCTAATCCAGGCCAACCATCTCACAAATGCAAACCCTTGGTCCCAAGGGGGTGGCTTGGAAGAGGAAATTTGGATGGTTTGATGCAAATCTGTCCCTACTGATGGAGACTTAACCTTCCTGCATTATGGTTGGCATTATTATTTCACGATCAATAGCATATTCTATTCCCTTGATAGCCAATCATCCTGTGCTGGATATTTGGACTCCCGGTCCTAATAAAGTTGGGCACTAGCTAGGCCACCAGTCGTTATCCTCAGGACAGTAGCACTGATGGGCAAATCAGGGCTGTCTTACCTACAGGACACTCCTTTCCTCTTGCCAGGAGTAAAGTACAGACAGACATAATTCTGGGACCTGAAATATATTTAAACACAGATCAGGACTCTTCCTGTAGCTCTCCTTGCCAAAGCTAGATCTCAGGATGCCCACTGGGGTAGAAACAATCATCTCAAGGGACTAAGCACAGGAGTGGAGAATCAGGGACTCAGGGTCCAGATAGATATTTTCTCATCTTGAAGAAAGGGTTCGCAGAGCAGGTCCCATGTTGTCTCTTAGGCCTACAAGGGGACCGTGATTTAGGTGAGTGGCACATGAAACGCTCAAACCTACTCTCATCTCAGACGACTTGTTACTCTCATGGGATATGTCTAGGTAGGATGATCACATACCTGACTTCCACCTTTTGAATTTGTTCACATAGGCTAATGGCACTGGTCAGCAAGAAGATGCTATTTAGAGACAAAGTGGTCTGGCTGAGTCTGTGGGGGATGAAAACAAAGGGAAATCAATCACTAAGAAGAAAGTCAGACAAAGCCCAGCAGTCTCCTCATCTTAGTTGTAATGTGGCATCTTTCACATCTGAAGGTGGTAGTACTGACTTTACTCACCACTGGTGCGGAGACTCTGGGAACAAGAAGTTTCCTGAGGAAGATGGCCTAGCAATACCAGACTTCAAACTATCTTATAAAGTAGTAATCATCAAAACAATCTGGTACTGGTTAAGAAATAGAGTAGTGATCAGTGGAATAGACCAGGTACACAATACTCGGTAGTAAATGACCATAGTAATCTAGTGTTTGATAAACCCAAAGATCCAAGATTCTGGGACAAGAACTCACTATTTTATAAAAACTACTGGGAAAACTGGAAAACAGTATGACAAAAATTAGGTATAGACCAATATCTTACACTGTATATCAAGATAAGGTCAAAATAGGTACATGATTTACACATAAAGAGTGATGCCATAAACAAATTAGGAGAGCAAGCAATAGTTTACCTTTCAGATCTACAGACAAGGAAAGAATTTATAACCAAACAAGACACAGAGAGCATTATGAAATGTAAAATGGATAATTTTGATTATATTAAATTTAAAAAAAAACTTTGCACAAAACAAAACCAATGCAACCAAGATTAGAAGGAAAGTAGAAAGTTGAGAAAAAAAATTTTTTACAGTAAGTACCTCTGATAAAGGTCTCATTTCTCAGATAGATAGAGAATTGAGCCAAATTTATAAGAAAGCATGTCACTCCCCAATTCATAAATGGCCAAAAGATAAAAACAGGTAGTTTTCAAATGAAGAAATTAAAGCCATCTACAGTCATATGAAAAAATGCTCTAAATCACTATTGATTAGAGAAATGCAAATTAAAACAACCCTGAGGTACTACCTCACACATATCAGAGTGGCTAATATGAAAGAAAAGGAAAATGAAAAATGCTGGAGAAGATGTGGGAAAATTGGGACGCTAATGCATTGTTAGTGGAATTGTGAACTGATCCAACCATTCTTGAGAGCAATTTGGAACCATGCCCAAAGGGTAATAAAACTGTGCATATCCTTTGACCCAGCAATACCACTACTAGGTCTGCATCCCAAAGAGATCATAAAAAAGGGAAAAGGACCTACATGTGCAAAAATATTTGTAGCAGCTCTTTATGTGGTGGAAAAGAATTGGAAATTGAGGGAATGCCCATCAATTGGGGAATGACTAAACAAGTTGTGATATATGAATGTAATCAAATACCATTATGCCATAAGAAATGATGAGCAGGTGGATTTCAGAAAAACCTGGAAAGACTTATATGAATTGATGCTGAGTGAAGTGAGCAGAACAGGAGAATATTGTGCATAGTAACAGGAATATTGTGTGATGATCAACTATGACTAACTTAGCTCATCTCAGCAATAGAATGATCCAAGATAATTCCAAAAGACTCACGATGGAAAATGCTATCCACATCCAACAAAAGAACTATGGAGTCTAAATGCAGATCGAAGTAGATATTTTCACTTTTTTTTTGTTTTTTGTTTTTGGTGTGGCTTTTCCCTTTTGTTATGTTTCTTCTTTCACAGCATGACTAGTGTGGAAATATTTTACATGATTACACATTTGAAAAAAAGAATTGTCATGAATACCAAGAGATAATGTATAATATTCTCTGAGCCTCAGTTTCCTCATCTACCAAATAAGGATAATTATTCTTGCATTACTTTCTAATGACAATCTACTATATCATTAGTTCCTACATCTAAAGGCAACCTTCTTATTTTATAAATGAAGAAACTCAGGCCAAGGGAGATTAGGTAGCTCACTGAAGGTTATACAGATGGTAATCACCAGAGACAGGATTTGAACTAGGTCCTTTAATTTCAGAGTCAAAGTTCTTATTATCCACTCACATTCTTTTGGCTGATTTCCCATTTGTGAAAAGGTCAACTAGGGTTAAGGGTATAGCCTGTGCTCACGGGATGGAGTGAAGCTAATTAGTCCACCCAGGGACAAAGAAAGTGTCCTTGACCTCTGGCCTGTTGAGTTAGCCAGACCTTCCCCTTTTCTGCCAGAGAGTATATTTGATTTAAAGGAGTTAGAAATGTGATAGCTCTTTAGGATTCTCAGAAAGAAAGACTCTATAGAAATCTAGAGGATTGTTATTATTTTTGTCATTATCATAATAGTTTAATTTCCTGTCATATTTTTCCAGATCAGCTGGCTTTTTTGGGGGATAGGTTCTATGCATATTTTTTCCTCTAACATTATGCCCATCTCTCCTCCCTGCAGAAAACATTTAAAATAAATCTTTCCATTTGAATAAATCCAATCTGAAATTGAAAACAGAGTTATAAATACAAATTAGGCCACTGCTCAGAAACACTTTCCTTGTACATGCCTGATTGTGACCTTTACTGCATTTGGAAGTCCCCATTCCCCAGGTCTTTTCTGTTCCAAGTACCACACTCTATATTTAATTTGGTTTCCCAATGACCTCAGAAATGATAGTGACAATGATACCTCACATTTGTACAGCCCTTTGTAAGTTCCAAAACCCTTTTACATTCATTTTCTCATTTGATTCCTCCCAACAACCTTGTGAAGGAAGCAGGACAAGGATAATCATCTATATTTTAAAGATAAGGAAATTTAGGCCCAGAAAGGGAAAATTATTTCCCCACAGTAATAAAGCAAGCAAGTGGTAGAACCAGAATGAAAATATAAGGTCCCTTAGTTCTACCTCTTGAAACTAGGATTTTTTTTGGGGGGGTGTTAAGTGACTTGCCCAAGGTCATACAGCTAGTAAATATCAAGTGTCTGAGGCCGCATTTGAACTCAGGTCCTCCTGACTCCAGGGCTGAAACTAGGAATTATTAAAGAGATGGTATGTCATATGTCTTTGCCCAGAAAGGTTCCATGGAATCAGTGAAAAGAAAGGTCTAAAAAACTTACAGTAACAAGTTCAGATTGTGAAGCTGGGATAAGTGGTCGAGTAGCATCTCAATGCTCTGATCATTCATGGTAACATGTGAGAATCTGTGGAGGGAAAAATTTAGCAGCAGTCACATTATGAAGACGACCAAAATGAAGGACTGTGTTTGACGCAAGAAGGCAAGGGAGGTGGCATGACTAGTGTATTGTTACACCTGGAGAACTCAGTTCAACATTTACCAAGTATTAACTGTCCTAGGTGCTGAAGATATAAAGATTAAAAATGGTCCTTGTCTTTGAGGAACTTGTATTACTCTGAGGACTCAACACACTCACACACACAAATATGATAATGTTAAACTGAGGAAAGAGAACATAAGCAACAAGAAGGAGAGGAGGAAAGGGGGATCAGGGAAAGCTTTATAGGGAGCCTAAGCCGACACTTGAAGCTTTATAGAGAGCCTAAGCTGATACCTAAGCTGACACTTGAAGGAAGACAAAGTTTCTGGAAGGAAGAGATGAAGGTATGGAGTATTCCAGACAAAGAGGACAGCTTTTGTGAATTCATACAAATGGGAGACAGAAAACAATCATCAGTTTAGTTTGACTGGAACACAGAGTTCATGAAGGAGACAGTATCAAATAAAACTGGAAAGATAGGTGGCAGCCAGATTGCAGAATGCCTTAAATTCTAGGCCGAGTGTGCATTTTGTCTGAGATGCACTGGCAATGGGATAGCCATCGAAGGTGTTTGCGCAGAGGGATGATATGGTCAGACCGTTTCTTGCCATAGGATAGATGATCTTAGCCACTAGGTGGAGGATGTAGAAAGGAAGTGAGATGAAAGATTCTCCCTCAGTCAGATGTGCTTAGCTCCTATTTGATCCTTTCCAGAGGTCTCTTTGAGAACTTCTACAGGCCTTCAGTTACCCTAATTTGAATCTCAGTATCAGAAATCACAGAATATTAGAGTTGGAAGGGATCTCACAGGCCCTCCAGTCTAACCTGTCACTAAACAAGAATCCCCTCTATCCTCCCTTCAACAAGTAATCATACAACATGTACTTGAAGACCTCCAAGGAAGGGAACTCACTACTTCCCAAGACAGCCTAATCCACCTTTGAATAGACCTAACTGATAAGAAGTTTTCCTTTACAATGAACCTAAATTTCTCTCTCTGCAACTTTACACCTCACTACAGCAAATCTTCATCATTTGAGGGTGGTTTTGATTTTTCTTTTTTGAAAGGGAAAAAAGTCAATGAGGGCCATGTCTGGTGAATAAAGTAAGGCACCCAAGAAGGTAAAGTTCTTGGCTGAAAAATTAAGTGGGATGATAAACACATTAGCTTTGTCTAATTCATCAGCTGCTTCTGAAGACTTTAGTCAAGGCATTTAACCTCTTAGGACTTCAGAAGACCCTGCAAGGACCCTTCCAGCTGCAAATCTGTGATCCTAAGAAGACAATTTTCAATGAGGGGTTCCCAGACTGCTCTGAGAAATGAACACTTTTAGGATAAATATTGAAACTTTCAAGGAAATCACTGTGAAGGACAGCACTTATGTGTATTCAAAACAAACCAATCAACCAAGACTGTTCTTTTAAGGAGCATAAGGGGTAAATATAAGACAGTTAGGGAATTGGGCCTTGAGGAAGAATCTATGGCCTGCAGAGAGTGTTTATCAACAATCTAAATTCAAAAGGAAATAAGATTCCAGGAACCTAATTTGCAAAATGTGAATGGAGATATACTGCCAAGAAAAGCCATGGCTAAATTCCAGAGTGGCCTGAGTGTGATGAAGAAAGTAGCCACTCAGAATATGCCTATGTGCCAGGCAGGTCAGGCCACCACTACCACCTTGACCACTATCTTTTCTCAAACAGTGATAGAGGTAGCCCAGGACCCTGAACCCAAGAGCCTTGGTAACATCAATGCTTTCAACTTCTGAGATGTGGCCTAGCAATTGCTCCTGCAGGTGGAACAGTCACATCTGTTGAAGACCCAGAATAGAAAGTTCTTGCCACCAAAATCTTTGGCACTGTAAAATGGTTCAACATCAGAAGTTGATACAGATAGATAGATAGATAGATAGATAGATAGATAGATAGATAGATAGATAGAGATATTTTAGCTATATCTCCAGTGGAAATGACATTAGAGAAGAGTCATTATTATATGCCTTGCTGTTCCTCCCAAGGGCCATGGGACCTATCCAACTGACTTGCAACTGAACCCCTGCATAAGAGTAGTCTTCCCCCATTAGAATGTGAATTCCTTGAGAGCAGGGACTGCTTTACTTTTTTATTCATATTCCCAGAACTTAGCCCAGTGCTTTGCATATAGTAAGTGCTTAATAAATGTTATGTACTTATTTATTTATTTATATGAAGCAGGGAGACAGAAAGAGACCAATCTAAGGTAGAAAAGTTTCTCTTTCCCATACCTTCTCTTTAGTGGACAGAATAATTACTTTTGGAGTAATTATTATGATGAGACAGATTAATTGGTGGCCAGGGCAAAGACCATGGCTCTCCAACCTCCAAGCTTGTGGGGTAATCAGCACATGTCTGTTTTTATCTGAGTCTCTTTCAACAGGTGTTTTCGCAGACCAAAGAGGAAATTTTGTGTTATTGCTCAGTCATTTCAATGAAGTCTGACTCTTCTTGACCCCATTTGGAGTTTTCTTGGCAAAGATACTGAAGTGGTTTGCCATTTCCTTCTCCAGCTCATTTTACGTATGAGGAAACTGAGGCAAACAGGGTCAAATGACTTGTCCAAGGTCACACAGCTAGTAAGTGACTGAGAACAGATTTGAATTCATGAAGATGAGTCTTTCTGACTCTAGGTCCAGCACTCTATCCACTGTACCACCTAGCAGCTCAGTGTTTTACTCATACCATAACGGGAATCCTCACTGTAACAGCCTGGGTGGGGTTGCAGGTGTGTCTAGGGAATGGTAGTATGGCAGCTCTTTGTGCTTTGTGGTTTCCCTGAGAAGGTGCTTGGAGAAATCTTAGTTAAACAGGGTTCCTGGCCAGTGGATTACCTCTCTCTTTTCCTCTACTGCTGGGATAGGATCAGAGTGAAGAGGCTGGCCCAAAGCTAAATGTTCTCTGATCTGGTATAATCAGAGAGGCACCAAACAGCCCTCTCCTTGCCCAAAATTATCTTACCTGTTGACTTTTCATAGGACCTATAATTCCTCCCACTGTGTCCTATGGACTCTAGTTTTGAAGGCCTTTCTCAGAATGGAAATATGTTGCTTGGGAGGGGTAACCCATTAAATCTATTAACATTCTCTGACAAGATTGGCTTAGCAGGATCTTAAAGTAGAATCTATAGGACAAATTTTTCTTCATTGTGGAATGGGCCAGAGCATTGACCAAAGAGAATAGGCTCTAGGAGACATCACTGAGGGAAAGGGGGTGGGGAGGGCACAGTGTGGCCCCGGGTGGAAATGTTCAATGTTAGGACACTGGGCTCTCAGAAGTCCGCTAAAGACAAACATCATCTCTTTTGTACTTCTGCCATGGGTGACTTGTTCCTCACACGTGACATCTCCCTACCTTGGTGTTTTGTCTAGGCTGTCCCCCATTCCTTGACTTCCCCCTTCACCTTTGCTTCTTAGAATCCCTGATTTCCTTGAAGACTCACCTTAAGTACCAATCACCTTCTACATGAAGACTTCCAGACCTCCACAGCTGTTAGTGCCCTTCCTCCCAAGCTACTCTGTATGCATTTTGTATACTTCCTATATATACTTATTGAAATACATTTGTGTTTTCTCCCCTGTTAGATATAAGCTTCTTGAAGGCAATGACTTCATTTCTGTCTTTCTATCCCCAGCACTTATAACATGCCTAGCACATAACCTGGAACATAAGAGGTGCTTTATTGATGTTTGCTAGTTGATTGATTTGTTTGGTCCTGTGTGGATGGCTTCCCACAAGTTAGCACTCCCAGCAAACCTTTTGTTGGTGGGAAGACAATATGATCACTCACAGCATCTTCCAAGAGGAGGAAAGGCTGAGTCAAGCAAAGCCTGAAAGGGGCTGGACCATCATTCATCCAAGCATCCCTTCTCAGCATAAGATTTTGAATTAGGAGGCTTAGAGAAAGTGGTTAGAGGGATTGTGTTGGCCATGATGTCTGTAGGATAGTGTTAAATCCATTGCAGTTCAGCAGCTACTTCCTTGGCCCCCCAAAACCTGTGGGACTAGCCAAGTGGCAAGACCACTTTGCACCACCAGGAGAATGGCAGGATAAAGTGAACCTGAGGAAGGCATTTATTCTTTTACTCACTTGATCTCCAGCAGTCCTTGGCACATCTTCAGAATCCGGAGCAGTTTTTTTAAGTTTGGGGGGTCCATTTGACACTCTCTGAGACTGAAGTGAGAACAGCAGAATCAGGGCCTGAAGTGGTTCCAGCTGTTGTCCCAGCTACTCTCTGTTGCTTCATTTCACTGCTGTGCTCACCCTGACAGGCTCCTCCCATTGGGTGCATTTTGTTACTTTGCAAACATTTCTCTTTCAAACCCACCCCCCAAAATTTCCTATCTTCTGGAAAGACCTCTACTTATCATGGGTTCATCAATTTAGAAATGAAAAGGATCTTGGAGACCATCAAATCCACCCCAATAAGGAAACAGGCTGACAGGTTAAGTGACTTTTCCAGGATCACAGAGCTAATCAACATCTGAGGTAGGATTTGAACCCAGGTCTCCCTGACTCTAAGTCCAGCATTCCATCCATTGTGTCACATAACTGCCTTTTCAGGTCTACTGAGCAAAGCTGCACTTGGAGTATAAGAGGTTTCTGGGCCCCCTTTGAGTCTCTTTCAACAAAGGGAGAAGCTGGGGAGAGGGAGAAAGTCTGTACCAAAAGCTCTTGGGGAAGTGTGCATCCCACTCTAGGGATTCCTGCTGAGTCTTCCGCTTTGCCCATTGTCCACAGGTACTTTGTTCCCTTGGAGAGAGGAAAACACTTTATAAGAAACCCTGTCTAGTTACTAGCCAACTACGTAAGAACTATAGTATGTCAGAGCTAGAACGTGGACATGGAATGTTAGAGCTGGAAGGGACCCCAGAGTCATCTAGTTCAATCTGCTCATTTTACAGGTGGGCAAACAGGGGTTCAGACATGGGAAGAGACTTGCTCAAGGTCATTCAGCTAGGCAGTATAGGGACAGAGCCAGCAGTTGTCCTCTCACATCTGGCCAGTCCCTACAGCCCCTGGGAGGGCAATCAGCAGCAGCTCCTTTCTCTGTACCAGCCAAGACTTTTGGTGTCTGCATCATTTCCCCGTGCTAGAGTTGCCCCATGGCCAATCCCCTATCTTTTCTGGATTTCTGAAGGTCTACATCTGGCCTTACATAGACCCATTCCTAGAAAAGAGGTAGCTCTGTTTCCCCAGATCTCAATGCCATTTCCCATTCTTGGACATGTATCTGTGTCAAACTCTGGGCATATCAGGCAAGTACAATAAACACTTTTTTGTATAGTGTGTGCCAAGAGAATTGGGATATGTTCATTCCTCAGATATTCTGGCAAAGAGTTGTAGCTGGCTTCAGGTGGGTTTACTTTTTATTTTAAAGTATCCTTGCACTCCCTCCCTAAGTCTTCTAAAGCAAACAAAAGTTACTATTTGCAGTTTGCAGCAAAGATAATGAAGTTTTTCAGTGACCTCATTGCTCTCTGCTTCTGACATGCTAGAAGAAGTTATAATCAGAATGTGAATGGGTAATGAACTTATACATGTTAATCACCACTGTTTGGCAAAGTCCCATGAGACAGAAACCTAACTGTTCTCCTCCCAGGCACTATAGCCCTCCTTCCCCCAGCAGAAGAGTACATAAAGATACTCTGACAATTCCAGGTTGTGGTGAACTCTGGCAGCATTCATGATTACTTTACTGGACATCAGCCATGTTAGAATTTCAGAAATGTCTGCTTTTAGGCATCTCAGTTGACAAAATTTCTTACTACCTGTGCTAGCAGAGTGGGCACCATGGGCCAATCTATTGATCCAGTGTGTGTGTGTGCGTGTGTGTGTGTGTGTGTGTGTGTGTGTGTGTGTGAGAGAGAGAGAGAGAGAGAGAGAGAGAGAATGTCTGCCTGGGGGTGGAGTCAGTGGTGATGACCTTTCCTCTTACCTGGCTCTCCCAATGCATCTCACAGAGATGGACTGTTGTCTTCCCAAGCTAGAATTCAATTAAAGTAAACATTACTTAAGTACCCACTGTGTGCAAAGCACTGTACTTGGCATCGGGAGAAATGTTAAGTTTAGATAAGACTTCATCTTTGCATTTTGTGGAGTTGGGTGGCAGGTATAAAACATGTGACATATCAACTTAAAACTATAATACAAAATAGAACCTAAGAATAGAAAAGAGACACACAAACAAAAACAGATGGAGAAGAGGGGCTCTTGGAAAGGCCAGAGAACTCTTCCCCTCAGACAGCTAAAAATTGTCCCCTAAAAATGGAAGTAGGACAGCAATTACACTTTGTAATTTATATTTGGTTGATAGTTAGGGAAAACCAAAACAATGTAAACTCTGGAATCTAGAAATGGAAGGGATCTTTTGATGAAACTGAGACCAAGTGGGCGAAGTGACATGACCAAGGTCACACAGGAAGGTGTGACACTGTGTCACACTGAAATGAGAATCCAGGTCCTCTGGTTACATTATACCATGCCATTTTCTCTACTTTTTAGTGACCAAACTATCATATACATTAAGATGGTGCCCATCACCCTGCTAATACCCTTTACTAAATATGAACCAAATCTCCATTTTTTCACATGAATAGTGTGCATCCAGGCATAGAAAATCCACAAAATGAATAAGTGAGAATTGATCAAATTCTGTCCTGTATGATATCTGCGGAATTTGAATTCCTCTGCTGTCCTCCTAGGATTACCTTCATCAAAAGATCCCAAATACAGGGGATCTGGGAGGAGACAGAGAGCCAAACTCACCTGATGTCTACCTCATGGATCCACTCCAGGTCAGAGAAAGTTGACGCTAAGCAGAACACAGCTTTCAAGGATGCTCTATTCTCATTCAAGCTGAAGAAATATGGGAAGGGGACCATTAAATCAGGCCTGCCCATGACCAAAAGGCACATTGTTGGTATATTTCAGAGCAAGACTTTTTTAGAGGTTAGAGGAAAAAACCTCATTGACTGTCAGAGTAAAAAGGGCCTTTGAAATCATTTAGACCAACTGACTTATTTCCTTGTTGCTTCTTTAAAATAAAAAGTTTTGCTAACATCTTTATTTTTTGATATCACAGCCATTTAGAGATAGATATATGACTTCTCCCCTTCACTCAATAAGCTCTTCATTGAAAGAGAGAAAAAAATTAAGCAAAACCACCTAACCCAGTGACAGTATCTAGCATGGTAGGTGGCATTCTGTACTTGCAGTCAAGCAACTCTCTATTGAAAGGATGAAGGTGACTTTCCTGATCTGTTCTCTAGGACCAGTTTTAAAGATGGCCAAACTGCAGACCAAAGAAGTGGAGTAACTTGTCTACCATCACGAAGTAAGTCGGTAGTAGAGCCATATAAAAGAATCCAGATTTCTAGACTACCAGAACAGTGCTTTTTCCATTACATCAAAATGCTTCTTCTGAGGAATTCTCCCTCCCCATTGCCATTTTCATACCTGGTAACTTCTCACAGGTAGTGAGAACTTCCCTCATCACAAGACAGTTCCTCACACAAGCCATTGCATCTCTAGATTCCAGGCATTTTCACTGGTTACTCTCCATGTCTGGAATATTCTCCCTCTTCATCTCTGCCCCTGTCTTTTCTGGCTTCCTTCAAGTCCTAGCTAAAATTTCACCTTTGGTAAGAAGCCTTTTCCTTGTCCCCCTTAAATACTGATGTCACCCCCCTATTGATTACTCCTGATTCATCCTATATCTATCTTGTTCGAACAGTTTTTTGTACGTTGTCTTCCTCATTAAACTGGGAGCTCCCTGAAAGCAGACACTGCATGTTTTTTGCTTTTCTTTGAATCCTCAGTGCTTAGCATGGTGTGTGGCACACAGTAAGTGCTTAATAAATGTTTATTGACTGATTGTCGGGATTTAACAGCAAGAAAGAACCTTCTCCAGAGAGGAAGCCACTCATATCTCTAAGCATTCTTCCATTTTAAATCAATGAGCCCAAGATCCACTATAACCCAGCACCTTATTATAGAGATTTAGCCACTGTATCCAATCACATCAACCAACTGAAGCTGGTTAGACTGGTTGGACATCAATGTTAGCCCAGTCTCTTTGACCCTTCAATGGATCCAAGACGTCATCACTGCGTAACTCCCTCTGCTGAAGCAGACTGAAACCCGACCACATCCTTTGCTGTGTCTCTCTATGTTTTCTCATAAAACCTTCATAGACTAATACTATAATTATATATAATATACCTAATATAGATTAATGTACATTGTAGTGGAAGATGAAAATAGTATAAATCAACAATATAGTAAAAGGCAGAATGATGTAGTAGGTAGAGGTCCAGCCATAGAGTCAAGAAGACTAGAGTTTAGCTTGCATCTGATACACATACTAGCTGTGTGACCCTAGCTTGACTGTAGCTAAATACTTAGCCTCTCAGTGACCCCGCCCCCCCGGAAATGCTTTAACACTATTAATTACAAATGGGTTGCTGATTTGCATTGATGGAGAGAGTTTCTATACTGAGAATAATTCTATATTCCACCGAAATCACAAGTTGGGATCCCTTTCTCTTTTTCTCCCCCTTTATCTCTTCCTCTTCTCCTTTCTATATCTATATATCTACAAATCCATATCTATCTATCTATCTATCTATGGAGGAAGAAGCAATAGATCATATTCAAATATGCTTTACAGTTATAAAGTTTTTTATATATATTAATCTCATTTAGTCCACACAAAAACCCTGGAAGGCAGGCTGTACAAGTATTATTATCCCCACTTGACAAATGAGAAAATGGAGGTTTAGCAAAGTAACTTGTTCAAGATCACACAGTTAATAAGATAACAGACCCAAAATCAGGTCTCTTAATTATAAGGCTTTATCTGTGACTTAAAGCAAAGAATGACAGAGAGGCTTCCTAAGGGGATTCAACGCCACCCCTTATGGATTCTGAGCAGAGAAGTCTGCTGCAAAGCCAGAATCTGAACTCAAGATAGCTTAGCTCCCTGCCTCATGCTGCAGCAAAACATTCCCAACCCACCAAGTACTACAATCTAGCCCCATCACTTACATCAGGAACTGCAGGGATCTCAGGCCAGGGAGGAGGTGAGTCAGTTTCTCAATGCCTTTGTTGCCCAAATGGTTATTGGATAAGCTGGGAGGAGATGGGTAAATCAAAAGGAAAGGTTTTTTTTTTTTTTCTGAATAAAGACTTTTATACGGGAATAGAAGCAAAAGGGCAGGGAATTTCCCTTTGTCCCAGTTCCTAAAGCCCATCTCTAGGGAACATTGCTCATACTTAAATTCCATATCTTGCTAGGTTCAATGTTTCTTAAGTCTGGGTCTGAATCTTGAAAAGAAAACCTCAGTCTTCTGCCCACTTTTCTGCTTGGTTAGCCACTCTTGCCAATGGTCCATGGCCCATGGCCAACCCTTGCACAAGTAACACCACAGATATTAGGGAGATGATGCCAGTGACTGGGGAAGGAGAGTGGGGGAAAGGTGCTGAGAAAATGCTCATCATTTCCCCTTCCTGACTGGCAGAGGAGTTTATTAATAGCAATCCTTCACATCTGCCTAGCCCTTTTAACCCCCGAAAGCACATTCAGAAACATTATCTTATTTGGTCTTAGGAAGTAGCCAGAATTGGAATTATTATCTCCATTTAACAGTTGAAGAAACTGAGACTTCTTGAGGTTAAGTAACTTGTCTGATGTCACACTGGCTACTAGTGGCATAGTTGGATTTAGTGCCCAGGTTGTTCGATCTCTTATACTAAGACTATCCAGTTTTGGCAGTAGTCTGATAGGAGACTAAAGGGGACAGAGGCTTTGGCTCATCATGGATGGGGTAGCTGAGGCAAGATTTCATGGTATGTAGGGGGAGCCCCTCAGGCCCTGAGTAAGCTGCCTTAGGATTGGGTGACTTAAAAAAATCAGCAATCCATGAGAAAGAGAGCCCAAAGGTGCATGGTAGCTTCTGCTCCTCAACTTAGCAGGCCTGCCATTAGTGCTATGAATCTTCCTGGCCCTGGAGAGGTTGTGGCCTGGCACAGATAAACACACTCACTCAAGATGGCTGCAGCTGCCCAGCTCCCGACACAGCTTCTCAAGGTCCCTGGACTGAAAACCGCAGTGTCTCAGTCTGCACAGAACAGAGACAAAATCGCAGGTTTCTAACTCCCCACTTTAAGAGACAAAGGGGAAAGGGGTGAAGCAATAGAGAGAGATCAAGAGAAAGATATAACGAGGGACACCGATATTCAGAGAGAGGTAGTCATAGAGAAAAATAATGAAAGAGAAACAAGGAGACAAGGAAATGAACCAGGGAGACAGGCACAGAGGACCTTAGTTTTTTTGAGGGAGGGAACTATCCCTAGTTTCTTTCTCTCTCCCAGCTTCCCCCCCTTCTATTAAAAAAGAAAAAGAAAACACAAAACCTTTAAATATGAATAGTCCAGCAAAACTAAGTCCCAAAGCACAGAAGGTCCAGGGGCAGAGCCAAGAGCTCCGGGACAAGGGAGGATGGATTCCAACTCTGTCCCTTGGGGCTCTGGTTTCCTCACAGCAAACAGGAAGGCAATCCCCACCCCCATATCTCTCTCTTCCACCAAAAGCAGTAGCAATGCTCTCCAGCCCTTCAGACCCATACATGGTAGCAATGAACTGAACTGGTTCCATGTTCTGGGAAAGAAAACTGTAGAATGAATGATGGAATTTTAGGCATCTCTGGTTATCTCCCTGTAGCCTCTCTCACAGTTTATTCCTCCAACCCCTTCTCTTTTTGACAAGCAAAGGGATGCAACCCTAACTTGACTATGACTTGAAAGACAATAGTGAGTTATGTCTAACCAGAGAAGTGGTCATATTTCTTTAGTTACTTCACTCTGAACAAAATGTGTGCCCCATGGCCGAGGTCAGGAGCTTCATATCTACTGTGCGGATTTCCAATATTTCTCTTTAAAAACTGAGAAGTCAGGAAAACCACTCGCCTTACAGCTGCTGAGGTCTATGGATGAAATAAGGGGCCATCCCTCTAAGGTTACCCAGAGTGACTGGGGAGGGAGCACCTATAGAGGGCAGCAAAGGTTGTGTTTGGCCTGGAAACTCAGAGCAGAACCTTGCTCTGCAGACCATTTCAGAGTTAGAGCAGATAGCACCCATGGCTTGGGCCCCAGACATAACTGGGAGTTTGACCTGAGTGGCAGCCCTGCTGGAGGGATGTGTCTGCTGCCACTGCCATTTCTCAGTGAAATTTTAAAGAGGAACTGGATTTCTCTTCTGGCCAGTGACCCACCTGCCCCCTAGATTTGTTAAAACAAGGATAAATGATTAGAAACATCACATCCATCCGAAAGTCCTACCTGATCACCCTGGCAGAAGGGGACGGCGGTTCAGGGCTGTTGCTGGACAGCTGAGTATTTGAAACTGTAGCTCTAAAAGGACACACACAGAAAATGAGCTACACAAACTCTTCAGCCTGGAATTCGAGGCCCTCCATGAGCCAGTTCCAAACTTCCTTTCCAGGCTTACCTCCTACTATTTCCCTACACATATTACATGCCTCATCCAAATTGGGGTCTTTCCTGTTCTCCAAACACACAAAGGATCTTTGCAGAGAAGATACTCTTTCTTCTTTTAGGAATCTCTGGTCATCTCCCTGTAGCCTCTCTCACAGTTTATTCCTCCAACCCCTTCTCTTTTTGACAAGCAAAGGGATGCAACCCTAACTTGACTATGACTTGAAAGACAATAGTGAGTTATGTCTAACCAGAGAAGTGGTTATATTTCTTTAGTTACTTCACTCTGAACAAAATGTGTGCCCCATTGCCAAGGTCAGGAGCTTCATATCTACTGTGCGGATTTCCAATATTTCTCTTTAAAAGCTGAGAAGTCAGGAAAACCACTCGCCTTACAGCTGCTGAGGGCTATGGGTGAAAGGATATGGCCAAGGCTGAAGATGATTTTAGACGCCTAGAAGGGCAACAGCACCCAGTCTCACTTGCTGAGCCCCCTGTCATAGGGGGAGAACTCTGCTCTAGTAGTGAAGTAGCCCTGAATGATACAAAGGTAGACAAGCATGAATACACGTACATACACACACACTTGCACATACACACACAAGCACATGCACACACACACCCCTACACCCACACCCACACACCCCTTAGAAGGCACCCTCTGATGCCATATGCCCTGTTCCAGGGATGGAAACAGGAACAGAGACAGACAACTAGAGTGCACTCAAAAACAAATAAACAAACAAAAAAGGAACAGCAGCAGTCAGATCCTGAAACAACATTTGGGCCATACCTGGGCTGGGCTTCATCGTTCTCCTGATCCCCAGCAAATCTAAAGATGGCAGTTTTGTTCTTCAGGCTGCAAAAGAAAGGGAAGCAGATGAATGAGGGGATAGGAGACCCACTCAGTCACTGCCTTTCATAAAGCCTCAAGATTGGCAGGGACCTGGAAGGATTATCTTAAGTCATCTCCCCGACTCCATCCAGGACTGCTAGTTTGCTTACAACAATCTAGGATTCTTTTTTTTTTAAACTAAATTTAATTTTTTTGTTGCATTTTAAGTTTTGAACTGTTTCCCTCCCTCCTAACCCTGCACTAGAGAAGGCCACCATTTCACACACACACACACACACGTGTGCGTAAAAACAACATACAGTAAAAACTAAATGTTATAATATTATAATGACCAAGCTTAGCACCAAAGAAGACATACAAAAAGACATTTTCCCCTGCTTCATTACTAAGGTAGGCAATTATAAGTTTGGCATATTACATTATAAAAACAATCTTTTCTAACATGTTGGTTAGTTCTGCTAGGCTTTTTTATTTTTTGCTATAAGGGATAGCTCTCAGAGGAACTGATACAGTGGAAAATATGGATGATATGAAAACAAGAGACATCAATAATATGTATTTTTAAAAATAAATAAAAATTTAAAAAGATCTCTCGTGTATTTAGGCATTTCCTTTGGTTTAGTCCTCAGAAGTTGAGTTTCCCACTCTCCTCTGTATCCCAACCTTTTATGGATTACATCTTCTCAGCTATTGGTCTCTCTATCCTAACTATAAATAGTCACTGTTCATGGTCTGAAACAAGTTTTGACAAAATGGATTGTCTCTCTCTACAACCAATGAGCTTCTAAAAAACCAGATTTTTACAAATACAATCCTACTCTGAATGCCCAAGAGGAGCTGCGAAACATCATGTTCTAATTTATCTACTGCGTGAATTTAGATTTTCAAACACTTCATTGCATCTGCTTAAAGCAGGTTCTGTGTAGAAAGCTATGTGCTAAGAATAATGTGGGACCAGGTAGGATTTATACCAGGAATGCAGGGCTGGTTCAATATAAGGAAAACTATCAGCATAATCCATCATATCAACACCAAAACTAACAGAAACCACATGATCATCTCAATAGATGCAGAAAAAGCTTTTGACAAAATACAACTCCCATTCCTATTAAAAACACTAGAGAGTATAGGTATAAATGGAATCTTCCTTAAAATAATAAACACCATCTATCTAAAACCTTCAGCAAGCACAATATGTAATGGGGACAAGTTAGAAGCATTTCCAATAAGATTGGGGGTGAAACAAGGATGTCCATTATCACCACTATTATTCAACATCATACTGGAAACAGCTTTAGCAATAAGAGAAGAAAAAGACATTGAAGGCATTAGAATAGGCAAAGAAGAAACAAAGCTATCACTCTTTGCAGATGACATGATGTTATACTTAGAGAATCCCAGAGAATCAAGTGAAAAACTACTTGAAATAAAAAACAACTTTAGCAAAGTTGCTGGCTATAAAATAAACCCACATAAATCATCAGCATTTCTATATATTACCAACAAAGCCCAACAGCAAGAGATAGAAAGAGAAATTCCATTTAAACTTGCTGCAGACATTATAAAATATTTAGGAGTCTACCTCCCGAAACAAACCCAGGAACTCTATGAACACAATTACAAAACACTTTTCACGCAAATAAAATCAGATCTAAATAACTGGAAAAACATCAGTTGCTCATGGGTAGGCCGAGCTAATATAATAAAAACGACAATTCTACCTAAGCTAATTTACTTATTCAGTGCCATACCAATCAAACCACCAAAAAATTATTTTATAGAGTTAGAAAAAAATAATAACAAGATTCATTTGGAAGAACAAAAGGTTCAGAATATCAAGAGAACTAATGAAAAGAAATGCAGGGGAAGGTGGCCTAGCCATTCCAGATTTTAAATTGTATTATAAAGCAGCAATCATCAAAACTGCTTGGTACTGGCTAAGAAATAGAGTGGTGGATCAGTGGAATAGGTTAAGTATGCAAGACACAGTAGTCAATGACTATAGTAATATATTATTTGATAAACCCAAAGACCCCAGCTTCTGGGATAAGAACCCACTCTTTGAAAAAAACTGCTGGGAAAACTGGAAAAGAGTATGGCAGAAACTAGGCATAGACCAAAATCTCACACCATATACCAAAATAAAGTCAAAATGGGTACATGATTTAGATATAAAGGCTGATACTATAAGCAAACTGAGAGAGCAAGGAATAGTTTACCTGTCAGATCTATGGAGAACAGAAGAATTCATGACCAAACAGGAGATAGAGAATATTATGAAAAGCAAAATAGATAATTTTGATTACATTAAATTGAAAAGTTTTTGCACAAACAAAGCCAATGCAACTAAGATTAGAAGGAAGGTAGAAAACTGGAAAAGAATTTTTACAACCAGTCTCTCTGATAAGGGCCTCATTTCTAAAATATATAGAGAATTACGGCAAATTTATAAGAATACAAGCCATTCCCCAATTGATAAGTGATCAAAGGATATGAACAGACAGTTCTCAGATGAAGAAATTAAAGCTATCTATAGTCACATGAAAAAATGCTCTAAATCACTATTGATTAGAGAAATGCAAATCAAAACAACTCTGAGGTACCACATCACACCTATCAGAATGGCCAACATGACAAAACAGGAAAATGATAAATGTTGAAGAGGATGTGGTAAAATTGGAACACTAATGCATTGTTGGTGGAGTTGTGAAATGATCCAACCATTTTGGAGAGCAATTTGGAACTATGCCCAAAGGGCTATAAAAATGTGCATACCCTTTGACCCAGCAATACCACTTCTAGGGCCATATCCCAAAGAGATCACACAAATGGGAAAAGGACTTACGTGTACAGAAATATTCATAGCAGCTCTTTTTGTGGTGGCAAAGAATTGGAAATAGAGACGATGCCCATCAATTGGGGAATGGCTGAGCAAGTTGTGGTATGTGAATGTGATGGAATACTATTGTGCTATAAGAAATGATGAACAGGCTGACTTCAGAAAAACCAGGAAAGACTTGTATCGTCTGATGCTGAGTAAAGTGAGCAGAATCAGGAGAACATTGTACACAATAACAGCCACATTGTGTGATGACTAATATTGATAAACTTAACCCTTCCTGGCAATACAAGGATCTAAGACATCTCCAGAGGCCTTGTGATGGAAAATGCTATCCACACCCAAAGAACTATAGAAGCCGAATTGTTATTTTTTTCTCTTCTGCTGAGTTTTGTTTCCTCTTTCTGAGGGTTCCTCCTATTGGTTTTAATTTCTACTTACAACATCACTAATTTGAAAATATGTTTAATATGAATGTAAATGTATAGCCTATATCAGATTGTGCACCGTCTTGGGGAGGGTGATGGGGAGGAAGGGGGAGAAAAATTTTAAACTCAAAAGCATGTGGAAGTGATTATTGATAAATCAAAATAAATTAATAAAAAAATTTTTTTAAATTAAAAAAAAAAGAATAATGTGGGGCTTGTCCTGACACCAACAAGCTGTCCCAAACAAATCCATGTGGGGCCCAGAGCCTGAGGAAGAAGAAGCCGAGCAGAAAAACAAAGACGACAGATGTGAAGTGAGAGGACCCGGATCACAGAGCTCGAGCTGGAAGAAGACTTAGAGGCTGCCTCATCTACCCCTGCCCTCATTATACAGATGAGGAAAATAAAGCTCAGAGTGGTTCAGTGGTCTGCCAAAGGTCACCTGGGTAACCAGTAACAAGTCCATTCTTTTCTGCTGGACCACACTGGCTTTGGGTTAGCTCCAGGCTTTCATACTTGCTGCCTATGTGGCCTTGGACAAATTTCCTCACCACTAAAATTCAAGGAGAGTAGCTGGATGAGATCATCTCTAAGGAACATTTTAACCATACTGGATGGGGCTGTCTGGTAGACCTGACCCTGACCTGAAAAAAGAGACTCCCGACCATTGGGTGGGATGGGGAGGGCTGGAGTAGTCTCCCCCAGTGGGCCCACATTACCTGATATCTAGCTCCACCACATTCTTGCAGGCATTGGCTGAAGTCAGCAAGCAATATATACTAGACTGGGATAGCTCATTGTCACTGATGCTGCAAAAGAGAACACAGAAATGATCATCGGCCCTTCTGCTGAAAGCACCTCTCAATTTACAGAGGCACAAGTCAAGCTGGCCCAAGGAGATCATGGGCTCTTGTTAGGTAAACCTTATGGCACTTTCTCTGGAAGTCCCCATTTGGCCAAGGGTTCCTAAATGTTCTGGGCCAGCCCTCCTTCCCAACTCTAATCCGTATCTGTGTTTACAGCCACCTAACAGAAAACGCTCCAGATTGGATTGTAAGCTCCTTGAAGGCAGGACCTGTGGCTCATTTTCCTTTGTATCACTGTACTACAGAAAGTCCTGTAGCAGGTGCTTAGAAAAATCACAGAATCGGAGTTTCAAGAGACCTCAGAAGCCCTCAAGTTCAATCTGCACCTGAGCAGTAATCCCTGTTACAGTGGATGGTTATCTAGCCTTCTCCTGAAGATCTCCAGTGGGAAACCCATTACCTCCTGAGGCAGCTCATTGTCCTTTTGAATAACCCTAATTGTTAGGAATTTACACGCACACAGGCACAATTTACACATGCATACACACATATACACATGGATATATTTACACACAAACATACATCTATGTGTACATATACACACACATGCAGATGCATGTATATTTCTACACACATACATACACATATCATCTATCAAGCTTGAATCTATTTCTCTGCAAATTCTGTCCACTGCTTCTACTTCTTTTGTCTGGGACCAAACAAACCAAATCTAATTAATCCCTCTTCAACAGAGTCCATTCCAGTACTTGCGGTCAGTTATTATGATCCCCTCTAAACTTTCTCTTCTTCAGGCTAACTGCCTCCAATTCCTTTGACTGAACTTCTTATGGGATAGTCTTCAGTCCCCTCAACACCCATCTCTGGATGTGGTCTAGTTTTCTTGGTGTTGTCTTGAATGGGGTCCCCAACTCCAGATCCAGTCTGACCAGGGCAGAGGAGGTTGGGATGACTGCTCCTCTCATTCTGGATGCTATGTCTCTGTCTCTGTCTCTCTCTCTTTTTGTAAGGCAATCAGGGTTAAGTGACTTACCCAGGATCACACAGCTAGCAAGTGCCAAGTGTTTGAGGCCACTCAGGTCCTCCTGACTCCAGGGCCAGTGCTCAATCCACTGAGCCACCTAGCTGCCCCTGCTATGTTTCTCTTAATTTAGGTTTGGATGCCAGGAGTTTTTTAACTGTCATTTCACCCTATTGACTCCTATTAAGCCTGCAGTTCGATGCAGTTCAGATCTTCTTTATCAGAATTGTAGTTTAGCTACACCTCTCTCATCTTGAACGTTTGTTCACTGAATGAATGAATGATGAGGGGGCTTGGGTAGAGATAGCAAAAACCAGAGCTAGTATACGTACACACACACACACACACACACACACACATACACATATATTACTATATTTGCAAAGTACTATACAAATATTATCTCATTTGATCCTCACGATAACTCTGAGCTATAGGTGTTATTATTCTCATTTTGCAGATGAAGAAATTGAGGCAGGTAGAGGTTAAGTGACTTGTCTCAGGTCACATGGCTGGTAAGTGTCTAAGGTTAGATTGGAACTCAATATGGAGACAGTCTAGTGTAGTAGAAAGAGCACTGGACTACGAGGTAAGATTATTGGATTCTAGCCTCAGCTTGATTGTCAAATCTAGGTGATCTTAAAATTTCTTTTCTTTTTTAAAACTATAAACTGGACAAACATTGGCAAACATGAATGTTTCTTCACACACACAAAGAATAGAAAAAGAGGACTTCATAGGAAACTATTCATCTCCACCATGCTCCAATTGTTTTTTTTAAATACTTCAAATTTAATGTATTAGTTCCAACCCTGCCCTGCTTGGCTACGTCCCCTTCTGAACTTCCTTCTGCTCTCTTCTGTGCATTTTGAAAGAGATTCTTTAAAGCTGTTTTTTTTTCTTTTTTTTTTCTGGCATCAATATCTCTTAGACTTCCATGCCTTCCCTCAACTACTCTTGCTCCCAACAAAAGCCCTTCCTTGTAACCCTTAGGAAAGATATTTTCCTTCTCTACGCCTCATTTTCCTCTTCTAAAAATGGAAGACTATATGATTTCTAATGGACCTTTTAGCTGTGACCCTAATCTAGGCTTGTCCATAGTTTTTCTGATGACTTTTAAGGTTATTTCAATGCCTGATGGCAGCTCTAACAAAAGGTAGGTTGAGGCAACAAGCAAAGAACAGACATTGCGAATTACATTTTTTAATTGTACACTCTGCTCCTGACCAAGGCACATTGCAAGTTGCATGGTTCACTGCCATATTCTCAGCATTTTCTGCTCCCCATAACAGAATTTGGCCTGAGACCTACTTAAACTGTTTGGCGATCTGTAAATCAGGCAAGGTCTCTGCTAGCTCCCGGCAGCCTTCATCTTCCAGCTGGTTTCCTGACAAACTGAGACACAGATAAGCGAGAAATGGTTAGTGCTTCCAACCTAGGGAAGGCTGAGGGACTTAGAACCATATGTTCACCTACCCTGTAGCCACAACCTCTCTATCTGTCCCAGAAGCCCCAAGTAGAGGGAGGAAGATCTACTCTCCACCTGGAACAGATGGGCTAAGTAGCACCCAGGCTCTGTCTGATCACTGAAGAATTCTTCTCCCTCTCTCCATGCCCTATTCTAAAAAGGAAAGCAAGAATTTGGGCCAGAGCTAAATTATCCAGAAAGGAATTCTCTCTTTTGCCCCTAAACTGTACTTTCCCTGAGAAAAGAATGGGAGTCATGTCAGTGGTTGATCTAAACTCTACCCTCCTGACATTACATGGGACTCCACCAGTCCCAAAGAACCACTCCTAGTGGCCTATAACTCTCTCCCCCTCCCCTTCCCCTCCCCCAACCTTCTCCAAAACACCAAACAGCTTGGGAATCTGTCTAGTTTTTGAGTGGGAGATTGTTCCACCTTGACTCAGGGAGAATGCTGATAAAGTGGAGGGTGAGACTAGGGTGCTGTAGGCTGGAAAAGTAGGTAGAACTGCATTCTGCTCCTTCTTCCTCCCCCTCCCCTTCCCCTTCTCCTTCTCCCCTAGCTGAGAAATGTGCCTAATTTACCACTAATCTAAATCTCCAGATTCTTAGGTAAGATATTTTCAGGTAGCTGGGAACCAAGGTACCACCCAACACACATCACCTGCTCGGACACAGTTGTTTGCTCACCCTATCCCCTGATCTGGAACAAAAACAGGGGCCCTGGAGCAACCGTGTCACTATAGCCACCCATCTCATGTCACTCTCTAGTCCAGAGGTTCCCAAAGTGGGTGAGAGTAGCCTCAGGGTGCAATTGGAGGATATTGAATAAAAATAAGGGGGTGGTGGAAGCATAAGGAAAGAAAAGAAGATAAGAAAATTTTGAAAAACTGTTCACACATGTTTCATCTGTTGCCTAATAGAGTTAAAGTCATAATGATTACATTATTTTCCAAACAAACACACAAAATGCAAGTTATAACCAATCAGTGGTCAAGTCCACCTATAGGTCTTAACAAGCAAGTGTTGGCAGGCAAGCATGTTGTGAATTGTTAGGAAGTCCAGCATGCACTGGCAGGAATGTATGCATGTAATGACTTGTTTACAATAGGATATTATACAGTTACATGACAGTACTGCATCAGCAAAATTTCAATGCAGGAAAACCCCACAAATTTACAATAAATTATTAAATTTAAGATGTATCATTTTTTTAAAAACATTTTATATTTTTTTGAAATGATGCAAATTTCCCAAAAAGATTAAAGGGTTAAAGAAAGTAGATTTCCAGGGGGGCACTGAGTAATTTTTTTAAAAGTAGGGTGGTGGGTCAAATAAGTTTTGGAACCTCTGCTCTAGTCTATAGTACAATCTATAATGCAGAATGGATACCTGAGGCCCTTCAAACCTGGGGATCCCAGGACAGCTACCGCCTTTGCCATTATGGCAATCCATTTCTGCCTCTTCTCAGCCTTCGGGTCTCTGCCTCCAACTTCCCAACCTCACTCAGCCATTTGGGGCCCATGGGACTGGAGCAAGAACCAGAGCTGGGGGGTTGTACTCACTCTACTTCTTCCAGGCAGGGCCTGTGCTTGAGCATCTTAGCTATCTCCTTAGCATGGTGGACAGCAAGGTTGCATTTCTGAAGCCTGGCAATTTGGGGGGAGAGGTGAGGAAGGAAAGGGAGATAGACTGGTTAAGTGTCCCACCAAGCCAGGTAGAGGTGATGTACTCCTTTTCTGAGCCAAAACAAGCAACATAAGAACTGGTTCCTCACTACTCACACCTTACTGATTCTGCACAGCATTGTGCAGGACACCCTCCAATCTAAACACCATTCCTACATGACTCCTCCCAGGGGTACCACCCTTCCCCTGTTCAGGAGATCATTTACAAAGACTTTGTGCTAAGGTATGGAAGCACTGATGTCTGCCTTTGTAAAAGGAATGAACATACCGATGAAATCACTGATACCTGAATTATCAATATTTTCAACTTTACCCTTCTTACCTGAATGTTAGTTTTCTGGCCTGAGTCATAATTTTCTTTAGGGGCTCATTTTTCTTCACATTCTGGGATCTACAGAAAATAAACACAGAATGCTAAAGCACAAACACCTTTAAATACTGTCTAGAGACCAGAAAGCATTAAACAAAATAGTCCAGATCTGGACCCCAACCAGCCAACTTGCCAGGATATCAGGCACAAATAACCACAGTCATTTTAAAGCTTACATTGCTGACCAAGGGGGAAAGTTAAAACAGTTAAGTCTAATAAAGATAGTGGTTAGGAGCTACAGGCCTCTACCTTCAGAAGGTGGCTGAAATGGATTTTCTAAGTACAGCAATAGTAATACTGCTGTTAATGTTACCAATAATAACTGTTTACATTTACATAATTAATTATTATAAAGATGATGCTTAGTATTAAATTTGAAATAAAGAAGCTAACTCATTCTGAAAGAAAGCTCACATCTAGGAAAAGTTTCTTTGAAGATTCTATAATGTATTTGGAGTAATTATGCAGTGAATAGCAGTTACCTGTTCTAATCTTTCAAGGGAAATGAGACAGAATAGCACTGGGGATGAAGGAAGTAGAAACCATCAGTATAATATCGTGTTTTTAGCTGGCAGTGAAAAACTCCAGCTAAAGATTTAGAGCTGTCAGGGTCTGTAGAGATCATCTGTTGAGACTGTAATATGTTAAAATGTGACTACTTAGTGAAGGGACTGATTTATAAAAAAACAAACAAATCAGAACCTATCCATCCAAATGAGTGTTGCCCCCTTTCAAGTATTTCCTTGGGGTGGCCTTGCATTTATCCTGACTGATCCTGCTCAAAATACTTCTTTGGGAACTGCTACATTCTATACATTTCTGTCATTTATAAATCTCCTCACCAGTAAGTTAGTGTACCTCTTTTAAGATCAGATTCGATTTTTATAAACAAGCCAAAAGTCACTCAGAGATAATGCAGGTGAAGTAGGTGATCGTGCTCATAAATATTATTAGGTGCAAAAACTGTTTTGATTGAATGGAAGGGTGGGGATGAGGTGGGACTGGATAGGGGCCAGGCAAAGGGGGAACTGTCAGAATGGAAAGTCAATCATGGATCCATTCAATCATTTTGCATTTGGCAGAATCTCTCAAATGTGTCAGAATTTCCAAATAATGAACCTGAGTGACTCTTAGACCTTATGGGATGAATCCTGCCCGAATAATGCCACAGATGCCAAGAAACAAATTTGTAATATCTTCATATGTGATTTTGACAAGCAAATTTCCTTGAGTCTTGAGATTCCAGGTTCAAATCTCAACTTTCCTCCTCACCGTCACTGTGACCCTAGGTAAATCATTTAATTTCTGTAAGCCTCAGTTTTCTTACTTGTAAAAGGAGGAAATTGAATCAGATGTTCTCTAACCCTGACAGCTCTAAATCTTTAGCTGGAGTTTTTCGCTGCCAACTGGAAACATGATATTATACTGATGGTTTTTATTTTCTTCATCCCCCATGCTATTCTGTCTCATTTCCCTTGAAAGATTAGAACAGGTAACTGCTATTCACTGCATAATTACTCAAAATACATTATAGAATCTTCAAAGAAACTTTTCCTAGATGTGAGCTTTCTTTCAGAATGAGTTAGCTTCTTTAATTCAAATTTAACACCAACCATCATCCTCATAATTAACTTCCTACTTAAAAAAACAACAACCATACCCTTGGCTTTTTCATCATCTTCACCACTCCCACAGGATTCATTGCTTCATGCATGATCACAGTCAATTTCTCCACCTGCTTTCACCCTTTTGTGTCAGTTAGAAACAATCTCATTTTTGACACAACAGCATCAGCCCCACAAGCTTCTGTCAACATGTTCAGCACCTCACTTTTCTGACCTCATATCACAGAAACCTTGTCATTACTTCTCTGCCCTCAATTACAGTCAATCATACACCTCCAGAGGAGACCACACAACCACGGTTAGACAAGGCAAACCACAAGTTTATGTTGGCTGAGCTCAATTGGCCAGTACAAATCTTCTGCCCTCTCCCTGTTGGCAGAGGACCGTGTGCCTTCTACTTTATTGAGAAAACTGAGGTCCTTCCTTATAAGCTCCTTCTTAATAAAGGCATATTTCCTTCCTTTCCCCTTCACTCAAGGATGACCACCTTGGAATGTACAGTTTTACTACGGTCACTTCATGTAGTCAATAGAAGATTATTGGGTATCAGACTCTTGTGTTAGGAAGATTTAGAAGGTCCCTGCCCTCAAGGAACTTATAGTAAAGTAGGAAGTGAAACAAGTGTGCCACTAATTATGAGATGTGATATATACCAGAAGAACAACAAATGAAAAAAAAAAAAAAGGCTTGCAAGTTGAAATGCACTGCAAATCTTTCTCTGGTTCTCATAAATTCCCCTTCACAAAAAGTCCCATCAGAAGTGGAAGAGAAGTAATCTCATACATTTCTCTTATTTCTGAAGTGACAAAATAGAGTCAAGGAAGTTAAATAGTGGAACTAACACACCCCACAGCTCCTCGGGAGCAGCCTCAGGGGCTCCCCAGCTCATTGCAGAACTAAGATTTCTTCCATGTTTGTTCTTTCAATAGCTTCAGGTTTTCCAAATGGATTTAGCTTTACAATCTTTCCTCACCCAAGGTTTTATCACAGCTCACATCCAATTCCTAGGTATAATCACCCTTTGTTAATTTAGAATAGTTAGAGAAAGACAGCCTGAATTAGTGAAAAATTTGAATCAGAATGTTTTTCAAAGAAATGCACTTTTATTACTTTTCAGCCTAGACTAGTTTGAAACACGCACTTACCAGCCAACAGTTTTATCAAGGAGAGGTACTGTTAGTTGCTTTAATGAAATATATAAGGGGCACTTGTAATTAACGCATTAGTTAAAACAGGCTACAGATTCTCCTTAATCTGGTTCAACCCTCTCATTTTACAGTTGAGGAAACTGAGGTGCAGAGGTGAAGTGAATTCTCTAGGGTCACATGGGGGGATAGCACAGCCAGGATTTGAATCTGGGTCTTCTGACCTTAGATCCACTGCCCTTCCATATACCACAAAACTATTTTGCATGGTTTTCCCAAAGTACACAGACTGCCTCTTTGAGACTAATTGCAGCCTGAAGTCACCTGGAAAAGGGATGTCAGAATTACCCATGCCCTCTTTTTACCGAGGCATTTCCAGAGTCTTTCCTGAGGATACAAAGAAGAGAATGATGATCTGTGCTTGCCTGTGAAGAGGAAATAAGAGGGGAAGAATAAAATCTGGGTTAGGCTGACAGTCCACAAGCACATATCAGTAATAATGATAATGATAATAGTTAACACCTATATAATGCTTACTATACAGGTACCGTGCTAAGTGCTTTACAATTATAATCTCATTTGATCCTCACAATGGGAGTGGTAGATGCTATTATTATCCCCATTTTAAAGATGAGGAAACTGAAGCAAACAGAGGTTAAGTGACTTGCCTAGGGTCACACAGCTAGCATGTGCCTGCGGCTAGATCTGAACTCAGGTCTTTCTGTCTTCAAGCCGGACACTCTACCCACTGCACCACCTGAGCTGGTATGAAGGAATTCCTTATGGTGTTCCCAAACTTGTCATCCCTGAGGTCCAAAGCCCAAGCACATGAAACTCAAGGAGCCACCCATCCCATCATCAGAGATCACTGGCCGCCCTCTCTCTCACCCCCACCCTCTGGCCCTCTAACCTCTCCCTGGCCCTTGAGCCTCAACCTCTGAAGGTGGTGTCTGGCCGAGACTACATGGCTTACCTAACCTCCAAGGTGGTAACTCTGGGGTAAGAAACTGCTTCCTTTGCCAAGGCAAGGACCGCCGAGACAGAAACTGCATTTCGGCTTAAGCTGTGAATTTGAGGCAGAGAATCAAGATGTCAACATGGAAGGAAGTTCTGTCCAGCCCAAACTTCCCGGTATCACTTCTTCCTCCCAACTCTGCTCCCACCTTCCCACCCCTTAATACATTAATTGTCTTATGCGAACTCTGCATGTCTCCTTCTCTGCAGTCTCTATGCCTTACCCTTGACCCAAGATACTTTTGCCTGGACCCTGTCCCTGAGCTCTGCCCCTGAGGCTTGGCCAAGAGGACCCAGAGGCCCAGAGAGGTCCCCCAACACAGGGCCTGCCCTATTGAGTCCAGAATCCTGCCTTAATGATAAACCCCAGTGTTTCCTGACACATTCTTGGGGATCAGATACTCCTCCACTCCTGCATTTTACCAGAATGGATTCTAGGTGACTTCAGGCACTTGTGGTTGGTGGTGGGAGCAGAGAGAGACTGGGACAAACTGCTTAAGATAAGCTTTGTCTACTTTGGCCTAAAATGAGTGATGGTAGCTACTTACTCAATTTTCTGTAACCGCTGCATCTTGTGGAGTATCTCAATGATCTTTACACATGAAGAATCATTCAATCTGTTGTCCTGCAAACTGAAACATGACACATGTCACTACCTTGGGGCTGTCTGGTCCTGGGATTCTCCTTACTGAGTACTGCACTCTGCCAAGCTCAAAGGTGGCAGACAAGTACCATGACTCTCTCTAATATGAGACACAAGGCCCAGAGAGTGCGAGTGATTTGCCCACTCAGCATGCAAGGCAGAGGTGGTGATTCCTCCCTCTCTCCTCTGGGCTTTGCTTTTCTCTCTGCCAGTTGCATTTGACTCAGCATTCTCCCCTTTTTTCAGGCTCAGTGGAAGAGTTTTCACTGAAGGGCTCCTTAGCTCATTCCTCAGTAGCCTCACAGCTGGTCTACAGGGTAACAGTGCCAGAATATTAAGTGGTAGACTTCTCCATAGCTTAAATTGGGTAGGATCACTGAGCACCAGGGATCTATCCAGTGGCTAAGACAGGCAGGGCCAGAAAGGCAACATGACATAGGGGCCTGGGTTCTAGTCTGAACATTCGCTAACTAGCTCTGGGACTCTGAGCCAGTGACTTCTCACTGAACCTCAGTCTTTTCTTCTGTTAAGGAGAAGCCATAACTCCTTCCCCAATTGCTTTGAAGTACTATTGTGATAATCAAATGAGATATGGATGCAAAAGCACTTTGAAAAGTCCAAAGCTCCATTTCCTATGTAAGTTATGGTCATTATTATGTTTCCTAAGCCATCATTTTCCAAATTTTTAAAAAATTTGAAACACACGTATAAACTTGTACAAACCACACTGGTGGGACCTTATAATAACAATAGCTTATATTTATTAAGTGCCTACTATATGCCAGGCACTCTGCTGAGGATACAAACAGAGGCAAAAGGCAGACTCTGCCCTTATGGAGTCAGAATCTAATGGGGACTCCACTCAACAAGTAAACACGTATGTGCCCCCAAAATAAATTGGAATTAATTCAAGGAGGGAAAACACTAGAATGAAGAGGGGTTGGGAAAGGCTTCCCATAGAAGGTGGGGTTTTATCTGGGATTTAAAGGAAGCCAGGGAAGACAGTAGTTGGAGTGAGGAGGGAGAATGTTCCAAGAAGGGGGGACAGCCAGAGAAAATGCAGGGAGCAGAGAGATGGAGTGTCTTGTCTGTGGGACAGCCAGGACATCAGCGTCTCTGGATCGAAAAGAGTACATGGTGGGGGAAAAAGGTATAGGAAGACTAAAAAGGGAGGAGGGGCTTAGCTGATGAAGGGCTTTGAATGCCAAACAGAGGATTTAGGGTTACAGAGCACTTCACATATGGAGCCCTAATCCCTCTCACTGACTTTGTTGTACCTTTAAGAGAGAGGGAACAGAAACTTAGGAACTCACAGCTACCTGTTATCTGTGGAAGCCCTGAGAGAAAGCTAAGAGAACTTCTTTCCTGAGGAGACTGGGCCGGGTAACTACCCTTGAAGAAGGAATGTGTGCAAGATAACAAGAGTTAACTGTCATTGTTGAGAGCATCTGAAGAAACAATTTTAGAGAACTTAGTTTAACTCTTATTCTGTGGAGACCACTTTCTGAGAGACCTAAACCGCCAGCCTGAGAGAAACAGATTGTAGAACTGTGGTTTTATGGTTGAGGATTCAGCAGTGAGGGAGAAGTGCCTGGCTGTGACTGGTGATCCATCTCAGAGCTTACATATTGCTGAAACATTTCTCTAATTCTTTGCTTTATTTCTTCTTCTTATGTTAATAAATTAAATGGCCAGTAAAACTGATTTTTGTCTCAGCCAACGAAACTGGGGTTTGACACTGAAAGGAGGAAAAAGCTTATGGGGAAAGGTTTCTCTGATTTTTATGAACCCAGAGGCTTAGAGCTAATTAATTAATTATTGAGATGTTTTCTTTATTGTGAGAATTTATGAATAAATTTCAGAATTTACCCTCTTCATTGTCTTTGAACTTGATGAGAGAAAGAATAAGGTAACAAGTCGGTAGAAGGAATGGTGATTTGGTGCGCGTATACTTAAGAGCACCCAAGGGGTGCTCTCACTTTGTGCCACCCACCCAAAGCCTCATCCATGGGACTGCTACAGCTATCTTCACATCCTCACAACAGCTCTATGAGGTAGTTAATGTATTATATTTATATAATAAATATATTAAATTTATATTTATTTTATGAAAAAAAATTGAGGCTCAGAAAATTAAAGTGATTTGCTCAGGGTCACATAGCTTGTGAGTGGCTGAGCTACTATTCAAATTTAGTTTTTCAACCACACCACCTACTTCATGTTTGAGAGCAAAGGATAAACAACATGTATTCTTTCCGTCATCATGTCAGCCACCTGTGTATCTACACTTCCCCAATTCCAAACATATAATATGTATATGGATGTATGTATAACCAATGTCCTCTCCACCACAGTCTCCACCCCCTTCACCTCCTGATTACAAGCTGGCCAGGGGAAGGAGGAAGCCCAAGCTATCCTGATGTACATGCTTCAATGGTCCAACACCCTGCCACAAGACCAAGGCCAAAAATGAAAAATCTTCCCTCTCTTCCATGGGCTTCACTGCCCTTCGGGATCCAGTCTTATGTCTCTTGACACCATGACATTCCCCTTTCAGGAATACACTACTTCGACAGGGAAGAAGTATCCTGGGCCAGCCAGTCGGGGGTGGGGAGGATTTAGGACAATTTCATTCACTTCCCAAGTCCTGGACTGGGTTAATATCATCCCATTGCCCCACACTTACTTAATCTCTTCCAGCTGAAGGCAGTCTGTAAACGCTTGTGCCAGGTGGCCAATGCCTTGAACTGAGATGTTATTTCCAGTTAACCTATAGAAGTGCAGACACAGACCTTAGGTGGGGACTGAGAGAATGAATCTTGACTGAATACCAGGATAGGACCTATCCACAGGCCAAAGAGGTCTGTGCTGGAGAGGAGCAGCCTAATGTGTGTGTCCCATCCCCAGGGAAGCAGGGAGCAGCTTTGGATTAATTCCCTGGGTACTACACCCTATGGCCTGTCCAGGGATAGTCCTGGTCAGCTGGAGGAGGGTGTCATATGCTACCAGAAGCCAGATGGGCTCTAAGAAAAGACCTTACTCAAGTTTCCTCAGATTTTTCATTGTTGGCAATGTCCTGGAGAGGGCTTCTGCAAAAGCATCTCTGCACTTCCTGCTTCTAACCCTAGAGGAGGCAGAAAAGAGAAAGTGGGAAAGGGTTTAAAAGACTGAAATGATATAGCTTAAATAGAAATTAAATGTATTAAATGTAAATTAAAACTATATAGATCAAAATTATATAAAATTATTGAATCAGAGGATTCACCAAGAGGAAAATCATAGGGACAAAGACCTAAATCTTGAAGACATCTAGTCCAACCCCCTTATTGTGCAGATAAAGAAACTGAGATGCTGGAGACTGAGAGACTTGTCTGAGGTCACAGATGTATTAAGCATCAGAGATGTTATTTGGTTCCAGGCCCTCTTACTCCAAAGACAGTATCTTTCCACCGTACCACACCAATGCTTAATATTAATTTACATTTCTAATGGAATACTATTGTTCCAGAAGAAATGATGAGCAGACAGACTTCAGAAAAGCCTGGAAAGGCTTACATGAACTGATATTGAGTGAAATGAGCAGGACAGCAACAGCAACATTAGGCGGTGACCAACATTGATAGACTTAGCTCTTCTCAGCAATGCAATGATCTAAGACAATTTCAAAAGACTTTTGATGGAAAATGCTATCCACATCCAGAGAAACAACTGTGGAGTCTGAATGCACATTGAAGCAGACTACTTTCTTTTTCTCTCTTTTTTTTTTCTTTCTCATGGTTTTTCCCTTTTGTTCTGATTCTTCTTTCACAACATGACTAATGTGGAAATATGTTTAATATGTTTGTACTTGAATAGTCTATATCAGATTGCATGCCATCTTGGGGAGGGAGGAAGGGAGGGGGAAAATTTAGGACTCAAAATCTTATAAAAGTGAATTCTGTAAACTAAAAATAAATAAATTGAAAAATATTAATTTATATTTCTGTCATTTTATGGTTCACGACTTGCCCAAAGTGAATAAGAGCTGAGAGCAGAACGGAGGTTCTCTGACTTCTAGCTTAGAGCTCTTTCTACCATACCACACTGGAACTAGATTCCCGAGCCCACAGGGCTCATTATCTTCATTTGACAGATGAGGAAAGTAAGTCTTTGAGAGGTTTAGTGATGAGGCCCAAGGTTACTAGAAAATTAGGTACAAAGTTAAGGATTCCCACATTCAGTGCCTGTGGCCAAGAGTCCACATATTTAAAGTGTCTAGCTAGGGTTAGGGATGATGCCTGTTAATACAGAACTGAGAAATTAACTTCCCCATAGTGATGGAACCCATGGCCATGGCCATGGCCTTGTTAATACCACCCCACTGCAATGACCATCCTTATCTGAGCACTCAGTCCCTCAAAGGCCACATCTCCCATAATACTATACTTTATCACAGTGCTATGTTTTATCTTTATCTCTTACTCACCTGAGACTTTCAATTTTCTCACAGCCAGCTAGGGCATCGAGGCACTGAGGCTCCAAAGAGCACCCAGAAAAATCGAGATGCACAGAAGCAGAAGCGTGGTTGATAAGAGAGGTCAGCGCAGCCAAATCTGTGTAGTTCAGGGGGAAATTATGGAAGTCCAGACTGAAAGGAAGGTGCCTGCCAGCCTGCTTAACCAGCTCAGCATCCTGGGTCTCCCTGACACAGTGGCACAGCTGTATCATCTTGGGTCCTGTTAGGTTTCGGGCTGCCAGTCCCTGTAACACTTGCCGGATGGCTGCCTGCTTGGTACCCACCCAGGCTTCATCCTGTTGTGACAAATGACTCAGGAAGGGCTGGCAGGTCTGGGAGGAGAAGCCCGACAAAAAGGTATGGAAGCGATCCAGGAGTTCTGTCCTGGCTTTGGTCCTCAGGGACCATTTGGACTTGAGAAAGAAGTGGCAGCCCACATCAGCCTTATCTATGTTGGGGCTCACCATCAGATACAGGGCTGCAAAGAACTCCTGGAGGCTGAGGTGGACAAAGGCATAGCATGTCTTCTGCTGCTGGATTCCTGTCCTTACCCTAAAGGAGGACAGTAGGTTGTGGGTAGCTGCAAAGGCCACTACCCGTTCAGGTATATTACCTGGGTAGAATACTATTTGCTTGACCTTTAGCCCATTGAAGGCTAGTTCACCAAGGCCCAGAAGAGCCTGGGAGTCCTTGCTCATCCAGGCGTCCTTGTCCTCAGAGGCCCCCTGCTTCCGGCTGATGAAGACATGGAGCATCTGCATATAGACCTGGGTGACTGTTGAGGGAAAGTTAATGGTACTGCCCTGGAGCAGGAGGTGATAGAGACAGATGCAGATGATACAACACAGAGCTGGGACAGTGCACAGGCTCTGGAGCTGGGTATTGTCCCTGAGTTCAGTGAGGGCCGTATCCCGAAAGGGCAATCCATGGAAGAAGTTGCTGACATACTTCTCGATCTGCAGCCATTCAAACCCCCAGACCTCAAACACTGATGTGGCTGTTTCCAGTAAGAAGTCTGGAATCTTCCCAGGGCGTGAGGTGGTCACCACCCAGCAGCCTGGCAAGAGGGATCCACTACAGAGGCTAGAGAACAGTGTGGCAACAGGCAGAGGTAGGGTCGGATCCAGGGAGTCCTCACCACAGCGCCCCTGACTGGGCCAGGGGAAGAGGAACTCATCCAGCCCATCGAAGACTAGCAGAACTCGCTGGGCATTCTCCTGAAGATGCTGGAAGATGGCACCAGGCTCATCCTCTGGGCTCAGGTATAACTCAAAGAGGAGCTGGGGAAGGGTCAGCTCCTGGTTCACTAGGTTAAGCTGGCGGAATTCAAAGAGGAAGACCTTGCTGAACTGGTCCAGCTCGCTGTTGGCCCACATCTGGCAGATTCGATGCATCAGCATGCTCTTTCCTGCCCCCGGCTTCCCAAGCAAGACTGTCACCTTGGTGCCTGCACCTGACTGGCCCTTGAAGAGGTCCTGGACCTTCAAATCAGCCCCATCCTCTACCTCAAGAGGTCCTGACAGAGCATCGCCCCGTGGTTTCTCTGGGTTCTCCTTCAGCCAGGTTACCTTGCCCCGACGCACAACTAGGTCCACGTAGGTCTGGCTGAAGGAGAATGGCCGTCCTTTCTGGGGCACGGTGGTTCTTACTTGTGTACTCCCATACCTCTGCAGGACCAACGTCCTCAGGAGCTTCTCATACCTTCTGACCGACCCTGCATGAGATTCAGGGTTGGGGAAGCAGGGGAATTGATGAGTTTCAGTTTCCCCTCCAGCCTTTCCCTCCCCCTGAAGATGTAACTTGTGATTCTGCCATTAGATACAGTGGGGGAAGAGAGGTACAGGGAAAATGAATGATTCTACTTCTCTTCCTATTAGCTTGCGTGGAACCACAGAATTTGAGAGTTGGAAAGAACTTCAGCAGCCATCTAGTATAATTCATGCCCCCAAAATAATCCCCATAACAATGCATCTGACAACTGGTCACTGAGCCTCTACTTAAAGACCTCCAGTGATGGCAGGCCATCTTGTCCCTTTGAGATTTCCACTCCTTGCTCCTGGTTCTGCACTCTCCCATCTCAGTTGGGGTGCCCTAGGCAGGAGTGCCCTGAAGCCAGCTCTAATCAGCTCAAGATAGCCAACTGTTAAATTTTTAGTCTGAACATTTACACCTTGGAATTCTGCAAATTCTAGAAATCAGGGTTTGATTTATTGTTTTGTTGAATGTATAGACTTAAGAAAATGATTGAGAAAATGTTAATAATGCAGATCAAACTTTTAAATTTATGCCATATTTTTTTTCTAGACAGCAGGCTGTTAAATATCTACCAGCATATCACTGCCCTAGGGCCATCCTAACTTCCCATTACCCACAACCCATATCAGAAAGAGGCTCTGGCCTTTTATGGGGACCAGACGCAGAACTTATTACCATGGAAACAGTCCAGCAAGAACACAGTGTTTGCAGCATGTGAGATCGGGGGGTGGTTTGGGAAGAGAGGAAAACACCTTTTAAAGCAGCGTGTCATAAAGCCAGTTATTAGATGAACTAAGTCAAGTCCCCAGTACCTCAAGTCCTTATCCAAGCCTGCTCTGGAGAGTTCTTTCTAGAACAGGAGGGAATTAGGGAATAGAGAGGCTCTGGGGAAGGGACAAAATTTCCCTACTTGCCCCAGAGGACTCTTCCACCTCCCAAGGCCACGTTTGAAAGAGAAAAGTCTATTCCCCATTGTTTGGAATCTTTCCGAGAACAATGCTTGGGTCACTGTTCGATGTCTGGGAGCTGGCCAGTGAATACATGCCTCAGGTAAGTTCCTCTGGTAGATGAGCAGGGCCCCAGTATGGTCTGGGGTCTCTAGTTTGTCCTCCCTCTTTGTTATCCACCCTCACACACACACATAGCAGCTAACAGAGCTGAGTTACCTAGCTGCTGCTGCCTGGAACATTTTCGATGAGGTGAGGAGCCTATCTCTGAGGAGGGTCGCTTGAGGCCTAGGAGAGAAGGTGATGGAGGGTTGAGATGCAAGCCATGAACTTGGAGCTATGAAGAATCTCATGAGCATCCCTTTGAACAGCCCCTACCTTCTGGGTGCAGGGGAGGGAAAGGAGGCAGGGAGAGGGAGGAGGCAAGGAAAGAAAGCTTCCAAACAAAAGAATGCATGTTAGAATGCTTCAAGAAATCAGGTAAGGGGCCAGAAAACAGCAAAACCTACTCTTTTCTTGCTTTTGAGTTTGTCTACAGGAAGTGAGGTCTGGGTTGGAGGGTGGGAGGAAGCCCAGTGTATCTCTGGGAGGCAGAGATCCATGTCCTAGCATGGCACAGTGGGACAATATGAATGAGGGACTTGCATGTCTGACAGGCTGGCAGCCCCCACAGACTACAGGGGTCGTTTCTGCATGACCTTCCCAGACCCACAAAGGGCAAAGCCAGTAGGCAGAAGGATGGAGACTGTCACACAGTTTCCCCAACTCCTGCAGTCAGGAAAGGTTAGTCTCATTGATGGCTCTCTCCAAGTCTCTCATAGCTACATGAAGTTTAGAGCAAGGAAGGAATATCAGGGGCCACTTGTCTAAATTCTAAATGAACAAGAATCCTTTAACATGTGGTCATTCAGCCTTTGCTTGAAGACTTCTAGTGGTGGGGAAATTACTACAGCCCATGGCAGACCATTTTACTTTTAAACAACCTCATAGGAAGTTTTTCCTTACATTAGGCCTAAATCTGCCTCTTAAAAGCAGCTAGTCAGAGATAGGCAACCTGTGGATTCTAGTCTCAGTCAAAGAGCTGCACTTGAGGACCTACAGGGTCACATGTGGCCTCGAGGTCAAAGGTTTTCCATCCCTGAGCTAGGTGGTTCAATGAAGAGAACACTGGGCCTGGAATCAGGAAGACCTGAGTTCAAATTTGAACTCAAGACACTTACTAGCTGCGTGACCCTGGACAAATCAGTTAACCTTTGTTGCCTCAGTTTTCTCAACTATAAAATGGGGATGATAATAGCACCCACCTCCCAGAGTTGTTGTGACACAAATGAGATAATGTTTGTAAAGCACTTGGCACAGTGCCTGGCATATAGTAGATGCTTAATAAATGCATATTTCCTTCCTTCTCAGTGTTCAAGCCCGTCAATATCTCTTTTTGGTCATGATTCTGAATCCTGACTGTCATCCAATGTAGGAGCTATCCCTCCCTGTATGTGTCATCTGCCCTCCAGGCCAGGGCTCTGAGGAACAGACTGGAGAAGCCAAGCATATCATCTAAACATCCTATTTTCCTTTAATAATCCCTAAAGAAACTCCCTATTTCTGCTCTCTGCAGCTAAGCAGAACACATCTAATTCCTTTTCCATATAGTTCAGTTCAGTTGTTGTTCAGTCACATCCTACTCTTCATGACCCCATTTGGGGTTTTGCTGGCAAAGATACTAGAGTGGTTCACCATTTCCTTCCCCAGCTCATTTTACAGGTGAGGAAATTGAGGCAAACAGCAGTAAGTGACTTACCCAGGAACCAGGAAAAGACTATACACAGTGACTGTAACAATGTAGGTGGAAAGGAAAACCATAAAACAACCAAAACTGAATGCTGAGAAAATAAAAAGCACAGGCTTTGTCTTCGAAGAAAAGATATTAGAAGACATTTCCTCTCACTTCTTTGCAGAGGTGGGGGTTTACAAGGTGTGAAACGCTACACGTAACATTAGATTTTTTTTCAATGTGTTTTTTGGTTTTGCTGAATTGTTTTCTTATTCCTTTTTTTTTAAACCTTTTCCAAAGGGAATGATTCTCTGGAAGGGGAGAGAGGGCAAAATATAAGAGAAAATGTAAGCAATGTGAAAACAAGAGATACCATAAATATATATTTTTAAAAATACCAACTCAACCTGCTAACCCTGGCTTAGCAACTATTTATATTTTAATGAATTCCAATACATGCAGTATCATAATAATTTTTCTGGCACTCCCTCTAAATTCCCATCAGGTCTCATTGCTAATCATTCATTCTCATTCGTGCTTCTTCTTGTTCCTATGGCCCCAGTTCAGCTTTTTTTTTTTTTTTTGACTTTTTAAAAAAAATTATCCATGATTTCTTAAAGGACTTCCAAGATCTTTCTTTTAATTTTTTATACTTAATTTCTTATGTCTTAACTGTGTTTTAGTATCCTGCTACATTCACATGCGACAGTTTACTTAGTCATTCCCCTACTGTTGGGCATTCAGGTTGCATCTAGGTTTTTGTAATTACATATTATGCTGCTATGAAAACAGTTTGAACAAATAGCTCTTTTTTGTTGTTTTCTTTTTTAGATAACACTTTTAGGGCATATTCTCAACAATGGTATTATTTAGTTACAGTGGATATTTAGAATTCAGGTGTAGACCTTTACAATTGTTCTTATTAAATTCCATCTTTTAGAGTAGGATCACTGATTAGAACATTTTAATCAGTCAAATACATTTTTTAAAAATCCTTTGAGATGAAATCAATGGACTTGATTATGAAGAAAAAATTATTTTTTACAACCAAAAGCAATGGCTTTAAAATTCAAAGAAAATAAACAGACTGAGGAAGTATTTGAAGTATTCAATAAATATCAGGCTTATCAGATAAAGGCCTGACGTCCAAAATCTCTATGGAACTGATATCTCCTATCAGTCTAATATAATAATACATACTGCCCAATGGAGCAGTGATCAAAGGATACAAACAGGTAATTTATCAAAGAAGAAATATAAAGGGTTAATATTCACATGAAAAGATATTCAAGCTTCCTAATAATTAGAAAAATACAAATCAAGACAACCTTAAGATGTCACCTTATATCCACAGGAATGGCAAAAATAGTAAGTACAGGGTGTTGACAGGATGGGGAAATAAGGACTCAAATATATCATCGATGGAACTGCAGACTGGTGCAAACATTTTGGGGAGCACTATGACAATATGCAGTAAGAATCACAAAATGGTATACGTTTTCTATTCTATTGCTAGGATTCTATTCCCAAAACATCATTAAAAGGAAAAAAAGGACCTATCAAATACAAAAATATTCATAGATGCTCTAGTTATAATAGCAAAAAAAATCAGAAGTGACTTTTATGTACAACAATTGGAGAATGACTAAAGTTACAGTATATTCATGTAATAGAATATTATAATGCCATTAAAAAGGATAAATATGAATATATAAGAAATAACCATATGAGGTGATACCAAGTTAAATCAACAGAACAGAACTGTATAAACACTAGCTACAACTACATACTTGTTTTTAAAGTGTTGGAAAAGAAGAAAAGAAAGAAGGAAAACAGGGCCAACAGTAGTAGAATTTCTACAGGTATAGAAAAAGAAGCAAAACAAACATTTGCTTGTTAGTTGTTTGTTAATTCTTTTGGTTCTGTCTTGTTAGAGACAAGAGGATTTGGGTAAGATTTTGCCCATTGTTCACATGCTTATTTGATTGTTTTTGTTGATTATTAAGTTTATGGTTTAATTTTAAAAAAAAAAGACTAGGACTATTGCTCTAGTTTGTTGAGATTGACTTAGATACCATTTCTCTTATGTAACATGTTACTATTTCTTCTTATTTCTATAGCATTCCCCTAACCTATCAGTTATGTGACCTTGGGAAGGACCAGTTTGGTTTAGAAGAAAATAAGGTTAGTCTGGCTCATTCTTCATGAATCCATGCTCACTCTCAACAGTAGTTCAGCTCACTATTTATAACTGATTAATAACTATTTGCATTTAAATTAAGTAATTTAACAAATCAAGTCTCATAACTTTTCAATCACTCCCTCTAAGTCCTCATCTGGACTCTCTGGCCATTTATTCTCAGTTGGTCAACTGTAATTCAGTTGCTGGCTGATGATCAGTGAGCCCATCAGTTGACCAATCAATCATCTAGGAAGTCAGCTGCCCAATGAAAAAGTTATTCAGATGACTAATCTTTAATCAGTCTTTGAGAAGGCTGGCCAGTCCAGCTAGTATGTTTGTATCCAAGTTTCTCAAAATGACAACTTCCTCTGACCTAGGGTGCAGGCAAAAGGCCCTGAGGTTTAGTGACCGAAAAATGAAAACAAGTTTCTCCAAGTGAAAGCAGACAGGGAAATTTTGGAGGAATTGTGGGCTAAGGGAGATAGTTTCAAGCCCAGCAGATCCTCCCCTGTCATGTGTCCTGAGGAAATGCTGCAATGTCTTAGATTTCCCAGAAACCTCTACATGCATGCCAGAAGACCAGCCTGTGCATCCTGGGCCTGTAAGGCAGAAAGTAGGTCTATAGTTGGATACAATATTCTCTTCCTCTCTGTTTTTCCTAGAATTTGTCTGTCTGGGAAGAATTTTCTTATTCTCGATGAATAAGATGCAGGTGCACCCATGCTTTTTATAGCCAATTCACTGGGAATTCCTTTCCATTTCTGACGGAGCCTGAAGGGGGGAAGGGGGGGAGGGAGGAGTGGGGAGTATCTTGTCAGGGACAATGCAAATCTGAAAGAAAAACAGAGGGATGGTTCTTGGAAACTCTTGAATGGCTCTTCTCTCTGCTACCTCCTGCCAGGAAATTGGCCCTTCTGAAGGGTCTTTATGACATCTTCCTGAGTGCTGTAAGTCCTAGGATCATGGATTTATAGCTGACCTCTTAAGATTCATAAAATCCAAACTTTGTTTTACAGATGAAGAAACTGGGACTCAGAAATGACTTGCTCAAAGTCACACAGGCAGAAATTAGCCACATAGATCATAGATCTAACCCTTGAAGGGACCTAAACGACTCTTTTCCAATCTTCTCACTTTATAAATGAGGAAACTGACACCCTTAGAGGTTAAATGACTTGCCTAAGCTCACATGAATAGAAAGCATGAGATCCTGGACGTGAACCCAGGTCATCTGACTCTAACTTCAGTGTTGTTTCTCCAGTGTGAGATCTTGGTGCTTTAGTGTATGACGAAACCTCTAGTCCCCTCCATGCCCATCCCTCCTGCAACCTCAGACTCACCTGAATGATGGAGCTGGGACTTAGGAAAGGCATCCTCGCAGAAGTATCTGTTCTGGCTTGGAACCTCTGAAAGAGTAGAGAAATTAGGTAAATAAATGTCTCATGCTTACAGTGGTGAACTGAGACACAGAATGTATTCTATCTCCAATATGGATATGTCTCTCTCCTAAGGGTCTCCTCTGCTGCTTTGTTTTGGTGTGGTGATACCCAGGAGTTTTCAAAGGCTTTGCCAGTTCAGCAAAAGGTCTAGAAGAGCCTGATAAACTGGAAGGGCTTCAAGTCAGGGCCTGGAGATTGGGTGTCTGTGATCTAAGGACCAACTTGGCTAAGCTTGGGGAGTCTCCACCAGAGGGTTGGCTGTAGCAATTTATGAAGCCCTCTGCTAGGTCATAGAGGGGCTGTGATCGGGGTTAGTGGCCATGGAAGAGGAGGGAGTGTCCACATTGATAAAACCATGGGTTCTCCATGACTGGTGAGTAAAGGACTTACTAAGTCTTAGGGAAAAGTGTCTGAGTGGATACCATCTGAGATAGGGAAAAAGAGTGAACTAACTGGAATGACAGAATGCCAAAGTAGCAAAGAATGCTGGGCTTGGAGTCAGAGGACCTGAGTACACTTCTGACTCTGCCCAGTACAACTACCTATATGATCTTAGAGCAAGTCACTTAAACTTTCTGGCCCAAGTTTCTACTCTGGTAAAATGATAGAGTTGAATGAGATGCTTTCTGAAGTCCCTTCTAGCTCTCAGTCTCTGAAACTTTGAAATGAGAGATGATAAACAAAGAAAAGTCTGGAATAAAGGTAGAAACCAGGGGAACCCTGTCTCCTGAAGGCAGGCTCCAAGTCAGAAGCTTGAGCCTGCTTAATGGAAATAGCTTGTAGCTACTTTCTCTTCACTATGTATTCTGATGTAGCTACTAGTGGAGTCAGTGATACTCCCTTAAATGTGTATCTCCTGAGGAGTAATTAGCTATGAAGAATGTTCAGGGGATTTGAGGGAACTGAACTCCTGAGGCACAAGAGAGCTGCTTCTTCTGTCCTCATAGATACGTAGGGTACCTGAGCAACACATTCATGAGAATTTATTAAACCCCTGTTTAGCAAAGACTTTGGAGATCATCTAATTAAAAAAAATTATAATGATTGCTAACATTATTACTTAGAAGTTTGCAAAGCACATAAATATTATGTCATTTGATCCTTACAGATCTGGAAAGTAGAGTTATTATTATCCCAACTTTACAGAAGAGGAAACTGAGGCACAAAAAGATGAAATGACTTGCTCATGGTCACATACCTAGCATATGTCTGAGGCCAGATTTGAACTCATGTCTTTCTGATTCCCGGTACAACATGCTATGCACTGCACCGATCTGTCTCTTGTCCAATCCTAACCTTCATTACCCAAAGTTACACAGATAATCAGTGGTAGAGCTAGGATTTGCACCCAGTTATCTTGCTTGACTTGAAATCTTGGGTTCTTTCCATTATACTGCCCTGCCTCCATTCATGTGGAGTTCCCTTCAGGGTGACATAGTGGATGATAGGGCACTGGACGTGGAAGTGAAGAAGACCTAGACACCTATCAGCTGTGTGACCCTACACAAGCCACCTAATTTCTCTGAGTCTCAATTTCCTCATCTGTAAAATGGGGACAATAATAATGTCTACCCTACGGTGTTGCTATGAGAATCAAACGAGATCATGAATGCACAATGCTCTGTGAACCTGACAGTGAACTGTAAATGTAAACTATCATTATGATATTGTTGTCTTTAATGTAATTTGGAATGCAAAATAGAGCTGTGGGGCCTCTCCAATCTGGGGGATTCAGGGTAAGGATCCCTTACGCCCCTCTAGTAGTTAGTGAACTATAAGCTATAAGAGGAGCCCATCCTAAAATGTGAGGCCAGGCATCAGCCACCCACCACCAAGTCATTGGGGACAAATTTCCAAGAGCAGGATCATCATGGCTAAGTGTTGCAAGGTCTGGCAGTATGGGATTGGAGAAAGGTTCCCTGGATTATTTCAGCATTGGACAGCTCCTGCCTCACAGCACATGGCAGCCTATCAGAGCTCCTAAACATGGTCTGCACTACCAGGTGGAACTCTAGGACACAGACATGTATCTCTCCTTTCCTCTTCCAAAACATAAAAGACCTCCTGGAGAGATGGGATGGAAGTTTTAGAGATAAGAATCTATTAATTTTCTGGCTGACTGAATAAAAGCAAAATTTGACACCTGATGACACAAGGAATGGGTTGTAAGAAAACCAAATTGCTAATTAGGAAATCTGGGCTCCCTGTTCCTGGTCGTGACTTACTATGGGAATTTGGGTAACTTACTTTAATCTCTCTGGGACTCAGTTTCTTCATCTGTAAGATGGGAGATGGGGTATAAAGGATAGACTAAATGAACATTAAGATCCCTTCAAGCTCTACCATTCTGCGTTCTATGATGCATACCAGCTTTGGTGTTTTTGCTCTATGTTCTAAGATCCTACCCAGCTCTGCTATTCTATCCAGGTCTGACATTCTATGTTCTATGGTGTACACCAGCCTAGCTGTGATATTTTATGTTCTGTGTTCTAAGGTCCCACCCAGCTCTTCCGAATGGAAGGTCATGTTCTAAGATCTTTGCCACCTCTGCCATTCTGCTTCCTGATCAAAGATCTCTTCCAGGTCTGCCATTTTCTACTCTTTTCTAAGGTCTTTTCCTTTCTAGCTCTGCCATTCTAGAGTACTTACCACTGTCTGTACCCCAGACACTCAGGAGCATGGTCTCCAAGTGCAGGGGCATGGTGTGTTCCATGCAGACACAATGGATGAAGGTCCGCCATGTAGAGGGGCCATGGGCTCTCAGTTTGCCAAGGAGCAGGGAGACTTTCTGGGTGGGATCTGGGGCCTCGTCCACAGGAGTCAGGTCTAGGTCAGGCAGGAAGAACTTGGCCTTCAAGGTCAGCCATTCAAGGTCCTTACTGAGCACCCCCACAAGATGGTGTTGCAGGCTTTCCACATCATCCTGCAAGTTTAAGGAGTCCATCTAGATCCAGCACTAAGAGGACCAAAGAGTGACAGGTTAGCTGATGGAGATGACAATACAACCTGAGCATGGAGAAAATCCTTGGCTTGGCTATAACTCTTCTTATTTACTACTTAGAAGAGGCACGGTGGTAAAGTATGCCAAAAAAACCCCAGATGGGATCACAAAGAGCCAGACATGACTGAAATCTATAGAAGTATGAGTTACAATGATGATGATGATGATGATGATGATGATGATGCCTTGCCCAAGCTGACAACAGAGAGCAACAGAAGAGCCAAGATTTGAGCCCAGGTCCTTTGACCACAAGTCCAGTGCTCTTTCTTAGGTTCAGCAATCAATTACTGGGGGGTAGAGGATGATGGATGAGGGAGTGGGTGGGGGGGTTACACAAGGAAGAATAAACAGTATCTCTTGCCCTAAAAGAATGCACAGTCTAGTTGGAATGATCAGATTGACACACGTAAACAACAAGAGAGTACAACATTAAGTGCTCCAGGCAAGGGAACTGATAATCTGTGTTACAGGAGTTCAGATCAGGGGGAGGTCACTGCTGCTGAGGATGATATGGAGGACTTCCTGGAAAAAGCGGCCAGGGAGGTCATTTCTCTTTCTTAAGATCAACTCTATTTCGAAAGTCTCTTTGTGGCTGGCGTAAGAATGGACAAGGGGATGGGGTGGGGGTGGGGTGGAGTGGAGTAAGAGACTGATTTGAAAATGTCCTACCTGGTTTGTTGGATGAGAAGATTCATCATAAATGTTCTAAATGGCAAGATGGAAGTTCTCAAGGGCATAAGAGCCTGGGTTCCAGTTCCTGAGTGTGTACCAGGACATGATGTTCTAAGAATCACTCCACTGTAGAGTGTCTGAAGGAGAGAGAGAGAGAGGAAACAGAGTTGGCTTACCCCAGAAGCCAGGGAACTGTAACAATCCCCCTGCCCTCTTCCTCAGTCTGATTCCCAACAAGCTCCTCCCCAACCAGTCAGGTGGAAGTCACAGGTTGGTGGTTCTGGGGGTAGAAAGAAGTAAGGAAGAAGGGCTTTCCCAGGGGGACACCACTCCTTCCCCCACCACACTTAGCATTGTGCCTGACATATAGAATGTGCTTAATAAGTGCTTGTTAACTTTTTTATTACATTTAAATTAATTCATTTCAGGACATAAAATATTATGTATTTAAGTAAATTCTTTTCAGTTCCTTCCTCAAAATTCCTATCAGGAGTTTTCTTTGTCCATTTTAATTCATCTTTTTTCATTCAGTTATAGTTAATATAGATTCCTTTCTCCTAGTTCTGCTTCCCTCCTCCCTTTACATTGTTTCATAAAGGCCCTTCCCAATCTTTGTTCTCCTCATACTTGCACATCTTAAGTGAACCCCGATTCATTTAACCATCTCCCTTATTGCTTCTAGTTTTTTGTTTTTTGTCTTGTGCAAATTACATATGGTGCTATAGAAATCTTCAGACAGCTCTTATTTGTCGTTTGTTTTGGGTGTGAGTTTTTACATTTGTCTAAGGGGTCTCCAGCTATGGAATCAAATAGGGAGGAACATTTACATCCTGAGGAAGAGAAAAGAGCCAGGCCCCACCTCAACCCCCTTGTCATCTGGGCATAACCTGTGGTTCTCTGCTATGGGCCCAACATCTTCCACTCAAAAGCTGGGCCCTCAGCTAACTTAAACAAAGTGCCCTCTTCATCTTGTTCATAGCAACTCAATACAAAAAAATCAACTTCTAGGTGGCACAGTGGACAGAGCCTAGCCTCAAGTCAGAAAGATCTGAGTTAAAATCTGGATTCAGACACTAGTTTTGTGACCTTGGGCAAGTCACTTAGATGCTATTTGCCTCAGCTTCCTCATTTGTAAAATGGGGATAATAGCACCTACTTTCCAGGATTGAGGTGAGGATCAAATGAGTTAATAATTGTTAAGTGCTTAGCACAGTGCCTGTTACATAGTAGGAACTATATAAATGTTGGTTATTATTCTTATTCTTATTAATAATAATAATCTCTGTAGTACAAGGGTGGTTTCTAACTACTTTTCTACCTCCTCCCCCCAGGATGTACACAGGAAATAGGCAGATAAAAGGGTGTTAAATGAATCATAAAGCTCTTTCTATTGCTCTTGATTATTTTGCTAAGTGTGAAGTTTAACAAATTGAGTTGTAGGAGGCTGTGCCACAAGTAACCCCTGAAAAGACTGAGCTCACCAGCTCTGTAGTCAGAACACGAGATCCAGTGGCTGAAGAGGGACACAGCTCCCAAAGGGCAGGGGAAATGGGGGGAGGGGTGCAGAATACAACAAAATCATATCGGAGTTAGGACAGGATATATTGCTAAAATTCCCAAGACTACAGACCCACAGGCAGTCATTCTGTATTTTTTTTCTCACATTGGATTCCTTTATGGGAGCCTCTGGTCAGGATGAAAGTCTATTTACCTTTCTTAGTTTTAAATACATATTTTGTCTTAGTCAATAGGGTTGATCACAGGTATTTGCTAATTTGGACTTATAGAGAATGAAGTTGGAAGAAGGCAGTTGAGAGAAAGCATGCCAAGAGAAGAGAGATAATTAAAATTGAGATGTTTTGGCAGAGTTTAGAGTGGTATCTTTGGCGGAGGGCTTAGAGCTAAAAAAAAAAAAGAATTATAGATTATTTTATTATGGCTTCTCAGAGCAGATAATGTTTACTTATCTAGGCAATAAGTCAATAGTAGGATGGAGATGAGTGAAAGGGGCTGAACAACCCTTATCCCTACCAGACCTCTGCTACGTATGCAAAACAATTTGCAAAACTTGAAATGGTATGTGAATGTCAACGATTATTTAACTTTGTTACCTCAACCAAGATTGCTCATCTTGTTTTGGGGGGGGGCCTAGGCAATGGGGTTAAGTGAGTTGCCCAGGGTCATACAGCTAGTAAGTGTCAAGTGTCTGAGACTAGATTTGAACTCCTGTCCTCTTGACTCCAGGGCCGGTGCTCTATCCACTGCACCATCTAGTTGCCGCCTCATGTTTTTTCTTTTAACATGTACGTATATAGTTTACTTAGATTTCAGTGAAGCATTTGCTGAAGCTCATGCTATTCTTATGGAGAAGATGTGGGCTAAATGTGAGTTCAGTTAGATTGATTTGGAATTGGTTGAGGGGCTGGAGTCAGAGTAGTCATTAATGAGCTTTTACTTTGAGACTTGGAAGGAGTCTTTAGTGCAGTGCCTCAGGGACTTATGTTTTGGCCCTTAAATCAATGATTCAGATAAAGGCAGAGATGTGAGGCTCATGAAATCCAAGACCCTCTGAGCTGGGAGAAACTGTTAACACGTTGGCTGATAGATGCAAAACCACCTGAGGAGGCTAGAACACTGGGCTGAATCGAGTAATATGCAACCTCATAAAGAAAAATGTGGTCTTATGCCTGGATTCAGGGGATGGCTTCCACTAGAACAAGGCTAGGGAAGGGAGGCCAAACAGAAGCTTCTCATGGGAATCAAGTGGTCTGCACTGGGAACAGGAGGTAGCATCTGTAGACCATTTATACTACAGTGACCTAGGACTGAATTAAAGAGGTTGAGCTTCCAGGAATGATCATGACAATAAGCATTTCTACAGCACTATAAGGTTTACAAAGCGCTTCATAAATCTTATCTTATTTGATCATCCCAACAAGGCTGTGAGGGAGGTGCTATTCTTATTCCCATTTTACAGACGAGTTCAGTGAGACAGACAGAGGTTGAATGACTTTCCCAGGATCACACAGCTTGTGAGTGTCAGAGGCTGGATCTGAATCCAGGTCTTCCTGATTCTAGGCCCAGGGTTCTGTTTACTGTCCAGCTGGCTCTAACAATCACACCTCTGTGTCAAGCCACATCCATTCTGGGCACCACATCTCAGGGAGGATAAGTTGGAGAGGCTTCAGCGGAAGGTAATCTGCATGGCGAAGAGTCTGGGGCTCACCTGAATGAGGGCTGGTTGAAGGCCCTGGGAATGCTTAGCCTGGAGAAGCAGGGACTCAGGGGGGCACAGCAGCTGCCTTCAAGTACGGGAAGGACTGTCCTGTGGAGGAGGAACCAGATTTCTGCTGGTCCACAGGGAGCTGAGCAGTATCAGAGGGGGCAAAGGGGGACATGTCCTGCCTGGGTGTCAGGACAGAGATCCTTGTAATTAGAGTTGTCCAAAAGTGGAATGAGCTGCCTTGGAGGTAGTGGGTTCCCCGTCACTGGAGGTATTCAAGCAAAGTTGGGACCTTAGGTCTTGGTAAGCCTACAACTTCAGAGTTTCTAGTCTCTCGTTCCATTCTCTGGGGTTTTGAAGTTTAGAGGGGGAGGACAGAGCTTGTGTCCTTCTAGCTGAGAAAGAGTTGAGTTTTTACTCAAGCTCAGAGAACTATTTTCTGCTTCACGCCTCTGAATATTTGTCACACAGGGCAGGCAGGAGCCAAGATTGTTCATCCTAATATACTAAATAACAGCTGGGCTTTTGAAGAGCAGCTTGTCAGCGGATGCCAAAGGAGTCTGGAAAGGAGGGAAAGGAGGGAGAGAAATGAAGGACATTGCCCTAGATGGGCATTAGGCATGGGGCAAAGCTCTTACTGACCCTAAACGTTTTGGTGACCGTGGAGAGTCTGTTGACTTTTGGGTTAAGTGGTGGGGAAGAAATTCTTGAATCATGCTGTACGGGAGTGAAAAGAGCACTGGAGATCTGGGTCCTAGTCCAGGCTCTGCCAATAACTTACTGGGGATCTCTGAAGGTTATTGTCCTTCTCTGGGCTATTTAATACTACCTATCCTGTCACCTCTGAGCGGGCTCTAATGATCAAATGAGACATTAGATGTAAAAGCTCTTTAAAGAATACAAGGCTCTGAGGTACACTGTGGTATAATGGATAAGGATAGTTCTTCAGTGTCAGTAAGGTCTGGGTTCATATCCTACCTCTGACACATACTAGTTGTGCAACCCTGGCCAATCACTTAAGCATACCAAGTCCTAAACTCCCTCATGGGAACAGCTGCTGATCTGCATTTGCAGGAAAAATTTCCTCACTGGGAATTCCCTGGAACAATGAAGTCACAAGTTAGATTGTCTCTCCCCTACTCCAAAAAAAAAAAAAAAAGACTACAAGGCTTTGTGCACTCATATGTTGACCTTGAGGGTTGGAGTGGAAGGGAAATTCTCTTGCCATCTCCATGATTTTATGAAAAGAGAACCAAATTGGGAATGGAGAAATGAGGGCCGATTTTGTTACACATGAGGTGAGCACAGATGAGTGCTACTGTGGGTATGAGGGGTCTCAGTACCTGCTGGGTTATCCCCTAGTCCTCCCTCCAAAGTCATGGTTTATATGACCTTAAGTAAGAATGGAGAATTAGGAGGAACAAGCACCAAGGTGGCAAGAGAAAGCAGTGGGTGAGTCATCTGGTGCCTCTCCCCTCCAACAGCTGCCAGGGCTGGCGGAAAAATGTATACATATCGAAAGAATGATGCAAAGAAGTCACAAGACCACTGGATCAAAGATTCAGAGCTAGAGGGGAACTTAGCCATCAAGTCCAATGCCCCCCTTCTACAGATGAGGAAACAGAGGATCACAAAGGCAGAGAGGTACTAAATGGAGAGCTAGGACAGGAACCCAAGTCCTCAGTTTCCAAGTCCAGCACTCTTTCCACAATACCACAATATGGCAGACTCTGAGGTGGACAGACTAAGACAGCAGTAAGAAATATGATACGGAAGGGAAGTATCCTACCACCTCAGCTGGGTGACTGGAGGCCGCCAGGGGCACCCCCTCATGATTGATCAGAATTCAATAAAAGTCCCACCAGATTGCTTCCTGATCCCCAAATTCTTATCCTGAAAGGAACCTTTAGAAGA